CAGAAGAATTGCAACTCTTCTTAAAGGTTTGGGACATGTTTGAAATATGTTCCTGTTCTCTCACTACCCCTTCAAAAGCACAGACTGTGAGAGGTAGGACTACAAAAGTGTACGTGTGAGTTCATGTGGATGTGTGGATGATCAAAGCGCAGGAATGTGTGAGAGAAAGAGAGTGACTTGCATGGCATTTCTTTGCATTTATTTGTGTGTGTATGTGTCAGAGGGTGTGAGTGATCAAAGCTCATATGTGTGAAGGCTTTTGATAAGGCTGACACCTGAGCTTAGAGCAGCACTAGTGGGGGAATGTGGGTAGATCAAGACAAGTCCTCTAGACCTGAGGGTGTGAATGCTGCAACACAACAAGAATCAATCCTAAAAAATATCAATCGATACCATTGCTCGGGAGCAGAAAGAGAGGAAAGAAAGAAGGTGATTAGTTTGATGCTTTAGGAAACAAGAAGAAGTAGAAAGAGTTGGAGTGGGAAAGCGGCGGAGGAGTTGGTTGGAGTACAACACATCTCTAGCAAAGGAGTAGATACCAAACCAAGCTGTATTTTTTATTCTAGGCATGTAAATCTGTATTACTGAGCCAAGTCTCAGACGAGAGTACAGGCCACGTCTCAGTGTCCACACTCACTGTCTCATAGGCTTTGACATGTGTTCCTGATAAGTCCACAAGGGCTCAGGCTGTCCCACTGTGAAATCGGAAAGTGCTTCAGGGCTCTCCGGTGGAATTTTGAGCCCTTAATGCACAGTTTCCACTGAAATGCTGGAGGCTTGAGGGAATAACCCTCAAGCGGGTGTTCAAAATCATCCAAAAGAAAAGAGCTGAAGGAGCTGGAACATTTGTAACATGCTCAGTGGACCTATGTCCCTCAGCAAGTTGTTTTTAAAAGGGTGATTTTTATCAAACATTGTTAATAACATTAAGGCTTTTATTACTTTTTACAAGACAATACATGTCAAATCAAATCCGTACATGTTAATGGCCACAGGCAGGCCTATAAGACCTAGGCAACATATTCATTTACAGAGTGCTGTCCCTTTTATATACAACACTTTAACCTCCGCCCCCTTGTGCTCTCACATTTTCACCGAGTACAGAGGTGATGATAATTAAAGTCTGTTAGGGATCACAGCGTGTACGAGGGTGGACATGGCACCGCGCCCCAGCGGTACGCACACTAGCAACCGCAACAAGAAAAAAAGTGAAGAGGAAAAAGAGGTGATAAAAGAGACAAGAGTACACAATGGGAGTGTGTGTTTGGGGGATGACGTTGACAGATGTGCTATTTGCTGCTGTTGTCCAAACATACACACACACTCAGACACTTACACTAATTTAATGAACCTCTGCCGGCCTGACCAGCACACGCCCACCTGCGTTCACTCACAAGGATTTGAACTCTCTTGGTGGTGCTGAAGATGGATCAAGTGTGTGTTAAGTTTGGTTTGTAGGTCATGAAATTGTAGTAGGGATTAATAGGCTTTTGGAAATTGCAGTACGCTGATACAGGAGCTCCCACACTGTGCATGGGCTCAGCATCACATACATTCATTCAGTGTTAAGTGTTTTATCCTGCTAGGTTTTTGTTGAGTGGAAGGAATAAGAATAATGCCACTACGGTTGTCGTTTTCATTGATGTTTTTTTCTTTTATATTAAAGGTCACCTGTCATGCAATATTTAGGCAATAGCATAGGTCTCAGATGTATAACAATGTATAAAAAACATGTCTATGAAGTGTTTTGCTCAAAATACCAAACAGATCACCCATTCTAGCCATGCCTCATATCCCTCTATTTCACTTCCTGTTACTAAAGTGCTCATTCAGGGAATAAAGCTCATTCAGGGGGCAGAGCTTATGCCTGCTCATGCGGGACCCGGCACATACTGTCTCTCTAAAAACGGGGCTACAAGGAGCTGATCTAGATTTGCCATCCGATATGCCATCATATCGGATGGCAAATCTAGATCAGCTCCTTGTAGCCCTGTTTTTCAGAGATTTGCGCACGGAGGAAAAGAGAGAGGGTTTAATTTTCTGACACTTTGTGAGTTCCCTGACACACCGAGGACACATGTTTATGTCTAAAAGACATCAAAAAGTGCATTTTGCATGATAGGTCCTCTTTAATGGTCACCTATTATGCAAAATCCACTTTATGATGTCATAATGATTTTTTTCGGCTTGTGTAACCATTAGCCAATCACCAACCAAGGTAACCCCCCCCCCACCTTATCACCTGAATCTCCTTTTTGTGTTCTTTTCTTTTTAACCAAATATCTCTCAGAGGGGAGTGGCTCCTTATTTTCATCTAAAGTAACATACAGAGAATCAGCACTTTTGAAACAGGGCTGAAACAGAGGGGTTTATGGGATGCGACAATGATCTGTTGTGTATTTTGAGCCAAACACTTCAGAGACATGTTTTGTATATATCTGAGACCTGTAATATATTGATGAAAAGCAGTATAATAGGGGACCTTTAAGTTACTATCAGCTACTGCTCTATTGTGCCATTTCTAAACCATCCACAATCTGCCATCAATCAATGAAAGGCATCACTTAAGATATAATATATATTTTCCAATAATTTCATATAATAAATGATAAGGTTTCAACTGAAGTCTATTTAAACACAGCTAGATATTTGGTTCACACGTATACACACACACACACACAGATCAAAAACACATTATATAACAAAGCCTTGGAGTCACAAGGGTCCAAGTGATATTTGGGGACACATATCTGCTAAACTAAACATCTTTTGATCCAAAGACATCCCGTTTTTTAACAGAATAACAGATTAGAGTAGTGATACACTCGCCAGCTTTGAGTGCAATGGGCATTGCTCCCAGGAGAAGGGAAAAAAATAGGAAGAGGCACATGAATAAAATGTGAATGCTTCACTTCAACATAATTTCTCTGAATGCTGAGGGGAACAAAGGGGATGAAACAGTTGGGCAGCCAGAAGTGTTGTTCCTATATTACCATAGTTTTACCGTAACTACAGTACAGGGTAGATCAAAATGATTGTTACTTTATTGTTTAGACATTGTAACCTGCAACATATATTTAATACATCTACGTCTGTGTGTCTCTCTGTTACTTAAAGTCTTATTACTACAGTATTATGTACTTAAAACAACATTGAAATCATATACTGTGCCTATCATTCAGTAAAGTGTCATCTTACTTACCGAAGGATTTGTTAAATGTATATAGTAGGCATAATTAGGAAATGTCATTGGAGCAGGTGGTGCATGTGTAGTGGTTTTGGTATCATTTGGATACAAATATTCAGCTACCTGAAATACATTTTTCACAAAGATCTACCAAAACATCAATGACATGCTTTGCAAAATTAGGCATTTTCAACAGTTGTGGACCCTTATGTTCCTGAAATGCTGACCTTCATGATTGCAAGGCTGTCGTTCTGTTCGGATGATAAGGTACCGTAAGAGACAGTTCTCAATCGTTGCCATGGATATGACTAACACCATGTCACAACTGAATATTTATGTAGATATGAGGAAATGAAAAGGACGCAATTTAATATTGTATTGGTTTCGACATTAACCTTATGCTGTCCTTTTTTCTGTATTGAGCCATCTCTTAAATAATGCAGCTGCTGCTTCTTAGAATCCCAGGTAACTGTTATTGTCAAAACAAGTGCAATCACCAAAGGGCATTAGTAACTCAGTGAACATCAGTTCAAGTTGAAATTGAATGACCACGGGGCCATAACTCAGAGTGCCCTCTTTGTTTGGTGTTATTGAATCTTCAGATACTGTGTCAATTTTCTGCTCTCTTTATTTCTCCAAAGCTCATTTTTATTTGTTGAAGAGATTCATTGCAGCCCCCCTGCACGTCTTTATGTTATGTGTATACGATTTATCTGGTGAGATTTCTATAGAAAATATTGTACGCTAATTAAATTCTCTCTCATCCCATTGCAACATTATTTTAATACATCTGTTCAAAGTTGAACTCTTTAAAGGTAAATCATTTCCCACACCTTGCCCTTTGCAGATCGTGTGCATATTATTAAGAGCACTGATATCATCCTGCCATTTACAAAAACATTCTCCATATACATATAGTAAAGAAAAGAGGCTGTCCTTTTTTCTTTTCTTTTTTTTATACTGTATAGCACATTTATAAACGATTTTTGGTCGAGCCAAAGTGCTGTACATATAATAAAAATAGCCTACAGTAGAGACACTTTACAGCAAATACAACAGCACAGATTGTTCAGAATATCAGTATGAGAAAAAACGACACCCTCTATCCTTTGACCCTCACATCGTACAAGGAAAACCTTCCAGAGAAAACCCACAGTTTAAGGGGAAAAAATGGGAGAAACCTCAGGGAGAGCAACAGAGGAGGGATCCCTCTCCCAGGACGGACAGACGTGCAATAGATGCCGTGTGTAAATCGAAGAGATAATACATTTTACAGCATAGGTAGTCCAAATGTTAGGAAATGCATGTGTCTGTAATAAGAAGATGAATCTACGAAGATGTCAACTACAATCCTGTGGGAGCCTTCAGGGAGGCAGCAAGACGAGACCCAAGGCAGGACCACAGGGACAGGTTTAGCCACGACCCGAAGTCCACGACTTAATCCAGAACTCAGGATAGAGGATCCAGGACCACAGCAAGAAGATCAGCCTCGACTCCGGATCCCGGCGTAGATATAGACACAAAACAAGAAAACATTTGGCTGGGTTAATCGGAACAAGAGAATACACAGACACAGACAGACAGACGGAAGAACAAACACTCCCTTAAAATAGATTGAGGGCAAAGGATAGCAAGTAAGAGAGTAAGAGACATAGGTGGAGAGGCACACTCACACGTCCTTCCTGTGTCTGACGTTGCAAATGGCTCTTATTGGAAAATATGTACTGTACCAAACACATACAACTTACCTTAAACACAGCTTTAGTTCAAGAAAAGAAAAATACTGAAATTCCCTTTATCCGTCTTTCTTTAGCTCCATGCGGAGGACAGTACGATGGATCTGAAGGGGTTGTTTTGTCTCCAAACTATCCCCTAAACTACACTACCAGACAGACATGCTCCTACTACATCACTGTCTCCACACAGTTTGGTAAGTGATCGTACTATACATTCTCCCAATTGTAATTTTATCACCACCATAAAAGCTCATTTATAACTTTTTCGTGTCTTGGCTGTCCATCTTCTTCAGTGGTGTTCGGTCAGTTTGCTGTTTTCCAGACAGCGATGAATGACTCAGTGGAGCTGTTTGATGGAGCCGATGAGAATGCTCGATTGCTCAGCTCCCTGGCGGGGTCACATTCAGGTGAGTCACACTCCCATAAACTCACTTATTTTGGGTTGGGATCATTTTAGATTTTTACAAAGCTGCCATTCAGTCGTAATATTTTAAAGTTTAATCTTTTTTTGTTCTCTTAAATACACCTTTGAAAGAGAAAAATAATGAAATAGTCTGTACGAAAGCGGCTCTTGGGGGCTGTAGAACACATCACCAGTGGTCGTTATCACAATTTATTTAACAGTGATGTATTTGGTGAAAATCCATTATAGGTTATCTTTACAAGAATAAATCAGCAGTGGAAAGCGCCTCACTGGGGCCTTACACCATGGGTGTTTCTCAATGTCAAGGAAGGATGCTCCAGAGCCACTATTTCAAGGATGCTACGTCATCGAGTCCCGCCTGTTCCAATGTCCAGCATACTTGGAATTCTACCGAGCCCTGCGTCCTTCGAGGCTGCACATGTGTATCCTCCGCGGTCTTAAAATCCCCACAATGCTTTGCGCACGGACCAATTTCCAAATCTTTGGTGGAAATCGCGTTCCATTTAAGGTGGGGCCTCGCATATGACGCACACCTGTTAGCCTGTTCCACCATTATTTTTGTCCGAGGCTAGGAAGGATTCTTGCCTCGCTTCTAAAGGAAGTGACTCGGAAGACCTGTGCTACCAAGGAAGCGTCCTCAACATTGAGAAACACCCGAGGAAGTAGTGCTTATACTCCTGAACACAATCCTCCCTGGGTTTCCTTATCCTCCAAGTTTGATCCATCCCAGCTTTTTAAGTCTCTACACAGTAAGACACTCAGCACAGATTCAGAGATGAGCCAATATCTATATAGGTGACATAGTATCAAATTGAAATATGAAGAAATATTGATAACATGTTGGCTAAATGTGCTCTCATTGCCTCAGAGTTACGTGTTCTTCTGTTACCTGTCATGAGCAGAGGGCACACTGCAGGGGAATCCCACTGGAATTGACTGTTAGTTTTTTCTAAAGAATACAGGCTTTCAAATATTCACTTTATAATATGTATTCATTTGTGTGCTTGTAAAATAATGACTATTTAAATGAAATGACTGCAACTGCCATAAAGGTTGGTAGAGTTTGATACAAATCTGAATAGAATTAGAGAAATCACAAACATGAAGATGGATACAGTATGATAGCTGCCTAGAGCCTTTCTCTGCATGTGTACTCTGATGTTTACATTTCTGCTTTACTGTGCTGTTTGTCCCCTTATTTAGTAGATCAGAGAGCTTGATTCAATATCATTTTAACGAGAAGGATGTGACAGTTTTTATTTGGCTAAATGTTGCTGCACAAAATGCAATTTATTTCATCCATCTAAGTTAGTTCAAAGGGAAGAGGCCTGTTTATGTAATGTAGAATGGGTGGCTTATTCTTTAAAGTTAATTTGAGTTGGAAATTCCCCTTTTGGCCAAACTGGCAGCAAAGAATGAAACACACCAGGCTTTACAAAATAATGTTAGCTGCATCATTACCCTATCACGCACGCACACGCACACACACACACACACACACAAGCAAACAGCTTCGTAGCACATTGTTCCAGCTTACTGACTGATTATCCTGACACAAACATATTAACACACATACACGTATACCAAATGTACACATACACACACACATCCCGACTCAGCTAATGACGGTTCTAAATGTCAGCCACGCTAGACCATGTTTTTCTCATTTATCACTGTTACTTCGTATGTGTGTGCATATACATATCTGAGTATGAGCCTGTTAGTTGGTTTGTGTGTGTGTTTGGCATTTTTGTAGGGGCCACATTTACCACACAGGGAAATAAGGAAGAAGCTTCTGCCTGAATGCAAAGCAGAACATTTAAATGTATGCTTATGAGTGTCTGTGGGTGTATTGTGTTTATAAAAAAACTGTATTTTGTGAAATTCTGGTGATAAATTGTATGCAAAGTAAAAAAAGTAAAGTAAAAGTAGAGCAATTGCTTTGTGTTTTCATGAGATAAAGTAATTTTTGTATTATTATTGACATTCATTTTTGAGATCTTCATGTGTGTGTAATTGTTCCTTCCAGGAGAGACATTGCCATTGGCAACTTCCAATCAGATCATGCTGCGGTTCAATGCGAAGAGTGGCCAGTCTGCTAGAGGCTTTCACTTTGTCTACCAAGGTATTTCTCACTCTGTGTGTCTCTCTATCTCTTTTTCTCTCACTTGCATTCAACAGACACACAACACGTTTCATTTCATTCAAGTTCAACATGGAAATGGACACATTAACTTTACATTTCAATTTACACTCTTTCTTCCTCTCAAATTGTTGAATTACCATCCTCATTGCAGCCGTGCCTCGCACCAGTGAAAGTCAGTGCAGTTCGGTGCCAGAGCCTCGGTACGGCAGGCGGATCGGATCAGAGTTCTCCACCGGCTCTGTGGTTCGCTTTGAGTGCAGTCCAGGGTATCTTCTGAAAGGATCCAGTGCTATCTGGTGTCAGGCCGTGCCAGGTGCCCTTGCTCAGTGGAATTCAACAACACCATCCTGTATAGGTGAGGCTAACCAGCACTGAAATGTTTACCCATCATATACATCAGGGGTCGGCAATTATATCTGGCCTCGGGCAAAACAAATTCTCAGCCACTAGATGCCGGGCAGGGGGTGGGGGTTCTAGTGAACTGTCAACGGGGGAGCCTCGCTGCGGTGCCGCTGCGGTGCCGCTGCGGTGCCGCTGCGGTGCCGCTGCGGTGCCGTTCCGTGGTTCTCTAGATTCTACAGATGGCCAGTCCGCCACTGCTCACAAACTTCTTAAGATCCAAAGCTTTATTGCGTTTTGAATCAATGCTGAGTACAGCCAAACTGGACAATCTCTTCTCTGTCATTGTAGACCGAATGCTTCTCCTTTTGCGCAGTCCCGTTGAAATGACAATCACATTTCCACGCTTGGGCCAGGGCCGGGGGAGGGGTTACAAGGCTCGCGTCTTGTGCTGCATTCACTTGCACTCGGACATTAGGGATTTTCTCATAAATGTCCAATGAGCCAAAACTTTTCTTTCAAAACAAAGCTGCCAACTGGGGTGGCAGCAAATGCACCACCACTCGCCCTCCATGATCAAGCGGCTTCTCCGATTTTGTTGTCAATGTTTTGACTGAACTTTGTTACTGTTCACATATAAGTAAACATTACGTTTGAATGATTTAATGTGCTGGTGTTATTTTTTTCAGACCACAAACCTATTGGCTATTTCAACACCACGCTATCCACCAACTTATTGATCCACTATCAGCGTCAGTGCACCCCGCTGCCAGATTGTGCCTGTGCTGTGTCATTCACTCTCAACATGGATAAAAGTACAATAAGCATTCTTCAGGTGTAGGTAGATTCTCTATTCGGACATTATAGCCTATATGTGTGACTGTCGGTCCGATATAGTAAAAAAGAAGAAAAAAAGAATCTCAAAATAATATTTTATTTTTATTCTCAAAATAATTTTCCGGGCCAAATATTATTGCCGGCGGGCCGCCTGTTGCCGACCCATGATATACAGTATGAAATCCGTCCTGTCTATGTATCACCCTGTGCTATTAGGGTTAGGGTGACATTCATTCCAACAAACTAAATGTATGCCTGCAGGAAATGCCTCTCTGCTGAGTAGAGAGAGGCCTGTTGCAAACAGCTTCAACTGTCACCTTTGATTAAACCATAAACAATGTTTATCATATTTTCTCTCTGTGGCTCCCTGTTGTGGTAATGTTGATCACCACATTGTTTCAGGGTATGCAGAGCAATTGTTCTAACAACCTGTCCTATCTTTTAGCTATTGAGTTAATACACTTTGCCAAGGAATTCATATTTCATGTCCCCATTCTAGTTCCCTGCAGTGGCAATTTGACTGAACGTCGCGGTACAATCCTTTCTCCTGCCTATCCTGAACCTTACCCAAACAGCCTCAACTGTCTGTGGAGGATCCATGTCAGTGAAGGGGCCGGGATACAGGTACACATATGAATACACTAAATAAACTATTAAAACATCTATGTGTGATGTGCATGAGCTAAGGTTGTTAAGTCCATTTCTTTTTCATTGTTCGATATAGATCCAAGTGGTTACGTTTGCTACTGAGCACAACTGGGATTCTCTGGAGATTTACGATGGAGGAGACATGACAGCTCCTAAATTAGGGTCATTTTCTGGTATGACAATATGCTCATACACACAAACTCACAAACACCCATGCACACAAATACTCCAGAGATCTATGATGGATGAGATTTGACAGCTCCTAAACTATAGATACACAAACACACACACATAGATTGACAGAGATACCCACACAAGATCTATGATGAATTACACATGACAGGTCTTAAACTATAGATACACACACAAACATCACAAACCAGAGATTTATGATGGATGATTTGTAATACCAACAAAACATGATATATATCTTTAATAAATAACAAACATTAAAAAATACTTATAATTTATCAGACATTCTGGCAGTAAAAGAAGGACAATAAATGAGAGAGGGAGGGAAAGAGTTTTAGCACAAGGTTGAGTGAAGGATCGAAGAGAAAAGGGGAGAGGAAGAAGACAGCGAGGGATAAAGAATGATCTAACCTTTTACAATTTCCCAAAGGAGTTTCCCCTGTGACCTGCCCCGAGCAGATACCTGTCACACACCTATCACACATTAAACATGCCGCCCATAGGGCAACACACACACACACACACTCACAAATGACTGTGCCCTTCTCAAGAAAGCACACTGGGGAGCTGCCCACTATAACCACAATGATCTGCGGTCGGCCTCTGAGCTGCTTCACCGGGGCAGATGAAGGTTGCTTCACATAAGGACACTAAAATGCTAGCTGTCCGTAGAGGGCGCGGGGTCGCGGGGTCGCTCACCCTCTCCACACATAATTTACAAGCTTCAAACAATACTCAAACCAGCAAGTCTTGATTCAAAGCATTAAAATATTTTTAAATGTAATTGTCCTTATTTATTCCCTGTGTTGTGTTACCAAACTTTGCTGTTCTTATTTCATATTCTGTCATTTATGTTTGTCTTTGTGTTTCACAGGAACAACTGCTCCCGCTCTCCTCAATTCAACGTCCAATCAGCTCCTTCTGCACTTTCAGAGTGACATCAGTGTGGTGGCAGCTGGTTTTCACCTAGAATACAAGAGTAAGTTAAAGCTTTTAACATAGATAGAAAGATTGATAGATAGATAGATAGACACTATATAGACACACATCTAGACACACATGTAGATAGGTAAACCACAATGCACATAAAACCCACGGACAGACACACTCACAATACACCGTTTCCACCAAAACTTCAACATCAAATAACAAGAGTCAGTGACCTGAACTGGTACAGCCCTGAAGCATGCACACATACTGAGACCCAAATCGGAGCCCACACACAGCTCACACACCTAGAGGGACGTAAAGGGGAGCACACAGACTGAGACACAAGTTGTGCTTGTGCCATACACACACATGTCCAAAAAAAGGCAGATACACACACACAAATGTGTAGACAAACAGAGGTATAGACATGGATATTAACGTCATGCATATACACACGTACAAACCTGTCAGGGCACTGTTGTGCTTTTCAGTCCTTTGTAGTTGTTTTAGCTTAGAATCACTTCTAGATCAATGAACATGTCCCCGTTTGTGAGTATGTGAGAGAGCATTAGTGTGTGTGTTTGAACGCACATTTTTTGTGTGTCTGTGTGTAGGTGAATGCACATGTTTGTGGGTCGATGGTCTGTATTTTTCTGGCTCTATTAGTCAACATGCCATCACTAGGAATGAGAACCTGGAAGAGTGGTCACTTTTAGGGACAGTTCATCATTTCTATTTCTTTTGCGATTACTCTCAGCTTTTTAGTGTGGCTTTTATAACTGGATGTGCCAGATCCATTACATTACATTTGAACTCCCTGTACAGTATCATAAATAATCCTCAGCCAATCTTTTTTATTTTAGCATTTATTTTGCTCAGGTCTGCACAAATGTATAACTGAATTGAGAGCACAGCAGGTGGCAGACTTTGGGGCTTTCTTTCTCTTCATGTCCCACATTTTCCATGCAGAGAGGATTTGGGGTGAAAGTTATGATGAGAGGTTTTGATGGGTCCTCTCTGTGTTTTGTAACAAAAACCCAATCTGAGACCTGACTAAGGTCTTAAATTATTTCAGTCAGACAACTCACGTGTTCTTAATATGTTTATTATAAGCAGCATATAGTTTGAGTTTGGCGTCTAGGCTCGGGCCTCATCACTCCACAGATTTACAAAGAACATTGAGTGATGATTAGATAACTATCCCCCGAGCCTACAGGTGGAAGCTGGGGTGGTGGTGGGGCAGGCAAGTAGCAGCAACATGAAACACAGCAGGAACATGAACGCAGCAATAGCAAGTGAACACAGCAGCAGCATAGCCAGGCAGAGGCAGGAAGACCTGGCAGCTTAAATAGAGCGGCATGTTTAGGAGAATGTGTTTGGTTGGTTGTAAGAGGGACGAGGTGCGTCACGTGTTAATGTATCATTGGTGCTCGAGTTGACTGCCTGAACTAGCTCGCAGGCTTCGCCCCATATATTATATTCAGTCTAAATAAGGTTGTGTAGGACTTGGGTCTGTGTGCCACTATGTTTAATATCTAACAGAGTCTGAGCTAACTCTGTATGAGCTCTGATCACATGACAAATCATTATAACAGGACAAAAAAGGGACATGTATGGCTGTATAGTATTTGTATTTTTATTTGATGCCGCCACCGTTGGGGTTCTCTCGCAATTTTGGTCGGTTGAAATCAGGTCTGATTGTACTTTTTGATATAGGGTCTCTCTTTTTAAATAAACCAAACACATGTTAAAGTATGAAGAGTGTATACGTAATGGGTCATTTGGGTGTTGTTGCCTTTGTGTTTGAGTCAACGTCTGCTATTTTGTGGAGAAATCAACACAATCTATGATGTTTCATAATGTTAGTCAGCAGGCAGGCCATGTTATTACAAAACCAAGCATGCTCATAACTTTTTCCAAGATCCCCTTTAAAATTAGATTTCAAACTTTACACCGCTATATGAGCACTTGCAGGACCCTGATGATGGTTTTGCTTATCTCAAAATGACTGCCAACTCTTTAATCTGTCGCACAATGTGTTCCACGTTTGCCTTAGAGGTTCTTAACAGGAGGTCTCTCCACAAAGTAGGCTTTTAACTTTTCATTAAACACGACATTTTGCCAAGGTCGGCCAATTTACCAACTCAATAGGTGATAAGAGCAGCCCACATTAGTATTTACCCTCAGATAATTGTTCATGCTAATTCTCATAGCAAACCCTTTAGTTAAAACAAATTGCACTTCCCTTTTTCATAATAAATATTTAGAGATTTAGAGCCTTTTATATCTCTAAATCTCTAAATATTTATTATGAAAAATAATTAAAAAAAATAAATAAATAATAATTGTAATGTCAACTCGAAAACCTGGAATAATGTAATTATTTGTAGTGCCTTTCAGCACACTGCTGTTCACTTTGTTTTCACTGTACTGTCTTTGTTTTCCATTGTGTTTCCTGTAGAAACAGAAAAAACAAAACCGCACATGTATCTGATGTCCTGTTAAGATTCTCCTTGTCAGTTTTGAAGTATAAGTATAAGTGGGCAACACCATCTGCTGGGGAGCCGAGGATGATTGTGGTGATGATGCCCTTATTGTTTTAAGCTGACCAAAGGGCCTTTCCTCTGAAGCTAGAGTGAGCCATCTCTCTCCCCTGACTGTCTTCAAATAAACTGAAACAGAAGTATAGTAAATCCAGTCAGTTAGACTTAAGTGCTGACGCTATCTAGTTGTAGTGTAGTGGCCCTAGTGGGGTATTTTGTGATATAGTCAGCATTTTACAGGGCATCACTGCTCTGTCATAACCAGGGAAAAGAAGTAGCCGTTTGCTTGCACAGAGAGAGAGAGAAAGAGATGGTCAGCCAAATGGAATAGTTTCATTGATCAGTTGTCCTGACAGCCTGCTGAAGCTCGACCTAATAACACACTGTGTGTTCATGGGTGTGTGTCTCCAAGTCACAGTCTCATGCAGCCTTTTCACTTATGCTCCATCTTTTAGAAAAGTCCCCCTCATCCCCTCGCAGCAAGCACACACTCATGTAACAGTCAGTCATGTACACACGCTCGCAAATGTCATACGCTGGTGCTGGGCCACCTGGATTTTTGTGTGTGTCTGTTTGTGCGTGTGTGCGTGTGAGCACAGTGGCATCGTTTTGCTGGTAGGAAGGTAGATAATGAACCAACAAGAAGAGACACACACGAGCATTCACTCCTCTCTCTTTCTTTTTCTCATTATCCCTCTTCCACCCCTGTGTTGCCATGGAAACCGCTCTAGGGCAGTCTCCTGCGGAAGTTTCCAAGTGAAACACACACACACAGATACACCCCTACTCAAACTGTTTGATGAAGGGCGGGCTGCTGTCAAACTTATTAAGGATGTGTTTATCCTTTATTGCGTTGGGAATACACAACCAAAGTCATTATGTTACCTTCACATATTTTTAAGCACATTTCAGAGGCCACTGTCACAGCTGACGACATACACGTTTTTTTTTTTTGTACTAGCTCATAAATAGGCAGTTGTTTATTAGGGCAAAGAAAAAACATTATGACCATTTTAAAATTAATCTGCCACATTATGTTTTAAACAACTTGAGTTTACTTTGATACAATATAACCTTGTGGGATGTTAACAAGTGGTATATAATATAGATAAACTGCTGTTTTTATCTAATCAAAAGGCCACATGCAACTGACAGGAAAAGCAATGCTTTAAAAGTCACCTATTGTGCAAAATCAAATGTTTCATGTCTTTTATACATCAACATGTGTCCCCTCTGTGTAAAGAGACTCTGAAAGTTTCAGGACAAAAGATTCTCTCTCTTTTTGTCCTGATCCATTTATATAAAAACCTGTCTGAAAATGAGCTGATCAGATTTTGGCCACTTTATGATGTCATAACGATTTTCTGGCTTGTGTAACCATCAGCCAATCAGCAACCAAGGTAACCCCCCCGCCCCACCTTATCACCTGAATGTCTCTCAGAGGGGCGTGGGGAGTGGCTCCTTATTTTCATCTAAAGTAACAGACAGAGAATCAGCACTTTTAAAACAAGGCTGAAACAGAGGGGATTATGGGATGCTGCAATGATCTGTTTGGTGTTTGGAGCCAAACACTTCAGAGACATGTTTTGTATATATCTGAGACCTATAATATCTTGATGAAAAATAGTATAATAGGAGACCTTTAAAGTGTTTTTCTTGACTAATCTTTAAGCAAAGACAAGGCAGGGAACAGAAAAGGGTATTTATTGTTGCTGTAATTTTAGTGTAATAAAAAAAGATATAATTTTCCATGATTACTTTGATGATTAAGGTCAAGACAGCAATGTGGTTTTAGATGTCTAGAACTTAAAGAAGAGATGATTATATCACATTTTGCTTACTTTTAATTTGTCATGGGTCAATGTCAGACAAAACCTTGGTGTTTCCATAGAAAATGTAATGGGAAAAACATAATAATCATGTTATGTCCTTTTTTTTTGTAGCTGTTGGACTTACCACCTGCCCAGAGCCAATGATACCAGCCAATGGGATTAAGTCAGGAGACAGATATATGGTCAATGAGGTGGTGGCATTCTCCTGTGAGCCTGGCTACACGTTACAGGTAATGAACACAACATGACCAATTAACACATGTAGAGTATATAATATACCTTTGTAATTTTAGATTATTGTACAATAACTGGTTCAAATATTGTAGTTTTTTTGAAAAAAAATGTAATATTGTGCAGCAAAACGTGTGTATGGACATTGGACACAAACTACTGTCAATAACCCTTAGCAAGCATATACCATAACATTTTCCACATTGGCTGCATAATGTGTTTACCTATCTGTTAATCAGACTACGAAATGATTGTCATGCTCCTAAATGAAGTTAAAGTCAAATTCCAAACCTAGAAAATCTTAAATCTTTTTTTTAAACTTAACCCAGTGTATTATTCCTTTAACACTTCCAGGGCCACTCTCACATCTCCTGCATGCCGGGGACTGTGCGTCGATGGAACTACCCACCACCTCTTTGCATAGGTAACACACACTGACTAAGAACACATACGATCTGCTGGCTGAATTGTTTTATGAATAATTGACCCAAGGGGAAAAGCATATGTCCTTCCTGCAGGTGTGTTGTTAACATAGACGTTTACGGCCTGCACAGCGAAGTGACTGAAGCATTCCAGTAGATTACAGATGTGAGCTTGTGCTGTCTTAACACTAAACATTTACAGGTTAATTGTCACATAGAAGTCTTTGAAAATATCTTGTTTGATGATTTTATTACTAATTTTCTATTTTTTGGCTGATAAGAAATCTCTTTATTAATGTCATTTGATTACAAGTTGTTGTGTGAAATTCTTTCGTTGCACATGATAGAAAACTATAAGTTACTTACGTAACCCCAGTTCTCAGAGTAACATGAAGTGAGATGTCTCACTATGAGATGCGCCTCATCGCGGAGCAAACGGAAGCATCAATCTCATTACGCCAATCCTGATTGGCTGGTGATCTTGACGTCAGCGTCAGGGAATTCACCCCCTATAAGTAGCTTGCGCCACGACGCATGCGTCATTCAAAATAAGCACCTCTTCTCGCTTCACCATAGCAAGGAGGGCCGTCTGGTGAGACATCTCACTTCATGTTACTCTGAGAACTGGGGTTACGTAAGTAACCTATAGTTCTCATTCATAACACTCCGTTCGATGTCTCACTATGGGAAATTGTAGCTCCCGTATTGTCAGACGAACTTATCTCGAAAATCACCAAACCAACCAGAACTTAACAGGTAGAGCTCTGACTCAACCAGGTGCCCAGCACTGCTTGAGTCACACTGGGAGCAGAACGTCCAGCCTGTTAAGAGGCGGACAAAAGTGAGCGGCGAGGACCAGCTCGCCGCTGCACCAATGTCTTGGATGGGAGACATCCTGGACAGAGTCCAGAATGCACCCAGACTCTGAGTTCAAAGAGCTCGCGGACCCGAGGATGCCTGCGAACTCTGACTCGTATGAGCCCCAAAGCAATTGCTTCCACAGACCAGTGGGAGAGCCGTTGCTTAGTAACAGGCTTGCCCGTATAAGGGTTAGCCCAGGACACAAGGGGTTGGTCATTATGACGAAGCACCCTTGATCTGTCCCTGTACGTGCGTAAAGCACGGGCTGGACACGGCAAATCCGGCCGCTGTTCCCCGGAGGAATACAGTGGCGGGGAGGATGCCTCAATGTCAAATGTGGTACCTGAACCAACCGCCTTAAGATAAAGGCAGGGTTGGGCTTCAACCACACTCTGTTTGCCCTGGGGCGAACTGAGTGCATGAAGACTGTACAGATAGTGCATGAGTGCCACTGGCTCGCTTGGCAGCTGCCAGGGTCAGCTTCATGTCACACTGTATTCAGATTGTACCACTCACGGGCCAGGCCCATAGAGCCAAGCGCTCTGGGTGTGGGTGAAAGATCGCCCCCCCCGCTTGGGACAGTATGTCCCTGCGTAGTGGGAGCTGCCATGGCTGCCCGCACAGCAGCTGATATATCTCCGCTAGCCAGTACATAGCTGGCCAGTGCGGAGCTATCAGGATAAGTGTGTGGCGTTGCTCTCTCACTCTGGCCAGAGTTGGGGGTATCAGAGCCAGGGGTGGGAACGCGTACAGAAGGCCCGGGGGCCAATTGTGCGCGAGTGCATCCACGCCTAACGGTGCATTTAGATCGCGCATCGAAAAGAACAGCTGACATTGAGCGTTGTCTTTCGATGCGAACAGATCCACCGCGGCTCTGCCGTAACGCACCCACAGCTGGCTCACAATCCTTGGATGTAGAGTCCAGTCTGCATAAAGTGGTATACCTCTGGACAGTAGATCTGCCCCGAGGTTCATCACTCCCGGTACGTGCGTCGCTCTCAGAGAGAGGAGACGTCTACCGCTCCATAGGATCAGTTTGCGCGCCAGTGTGTGTAACTGGAGAGAACGCAAACCCCCTTGGCGGTTAATATACGATATTGTGGTCGTATTGTCTGTCCTCACAAGGACGTGATGTCCCCTGAGGAAAGGCAGAAAGCGTTTTAGGGTGAGAAACACCGCTAAAAGCTCCAGGTAATTTATGTGCGCCCGCTGGAGGACTCTGCTCCAGAGACCCCTCACCGGGCGACCTTCATAAATACCTCCCCAACCTGTCAGACATGCGTCCGTGGTGACCACTTTCCGTGAAAGGACAGCACCCATAGGCACACCTCGTACTAGAAAAGTCGGGTGCAGCCAGTGGCGCAGTGCCATTACGCATTTCACAGTAACCATCACTCTTTAGTTTTAGGGCGGCCACCCAGCGCTGAAACTCCCTCATGTGTAAGCGTCCCAGTCGTACGACCAGGATGGCTGACGCCATGAGCCCCAGCAATTGCAGGCATGATCTGAAGAGAACATGTTTGCGCAGCTGGAAAAGAGCGAGACAAGCTCTGAAAGCTTTCACTCTTTCCGCTGACAAGCGAGCTGAAAAGGGCACCGAGTTCAGGCGTAAACCCAGGAGGCACAACATGCTCTTCTCTGTGTTTATTATGAAACCCAGGTTGAGCAGGTGCTTTACGAGGACATTTGTCTGCGTAACAGCCTCCTGCTCCGACTGTGCGAGAAGCAGCCAGTCGTCCAGGTAGGTCGCCAGGCGAATACCCTGTTGTCTTAACGGGGCTATCGCGGCTTCCGTACATCGTACAAACACCCTTGGACTGAGAGACAGACCGAAGGGGAGTACTCTGTATTCATAACAGATCCCCTGAAATGCGAATCTCAGATATTTCCTGTGTGGGTAATATACTGGGATGTGAAAATACGCATCTTTCAGGTCGACTGATGTAAACCAGTCGTCTTGTCGCACGAGCCGCAGCAGAGATGTGTGAGTGAGCATTCTGAACTTATATCTTTTTAGATATTTGTTCAGAGCCCTCAAATCAAGTATTGGCCGAATTCCGTTCCCTCCCCGTTTGGGAACGAGGAAGTACTTGGAATAGAAGCCGCCCTGAATCTGCTCGGCGGGTACAATAGATATAGCCCTCTTTTCTAGGAGAGAGAGAATCTCTCTCTCCAGAATATGGGCTGACTCTCCTCGGGCATGCGAATGCAGAATGCCCGAGAAGCGAGGGGGGGTGACAGCGAATTGGAGTCTGTAGCCCCGTGTTACTGTCTTGAAAACCCAAGCAGATGATGTGAACATCTTCCACTGCATGCTCCTTAGAGCCAGTGGAGATGTCACGTCTCTTCCCCTTTGAGTCTCTATTTGTTGTGTTATGGGGCCCTCTAGTGTCTGAACACAGTGGTGCCCCTTTTCGACAATCCCCACCGACACTGCGCATGCGCATGACGGTGGTGCCTTCACAACCCCAGCCGGCACTGCGCATGCGTGTGGCGGTGGTGCCTTCACAGACCCGCCTGTAATCCGCCTTTTGAGAGATGCCGTAGCTGCTCTCAGAAGGGGAACAGTTGACGGGCTGTTTATTGGTTTTATTGTTTTTCTTTTCATTTTTTTTTGAGCTGCGCCCTCGGCCTGAAGCCTGGATGCGTCAGCGGCAAATGTTTTATGACAGAAAAATCAACAAATGTGTGACATGTGTTTGTGCGGACTTGAGGATGGTGTTGAGGCATCTCTCGAGGCGGCGTGAACACATTTAGAGCTGGGGAACCGTGGACTTCCAGCTCTGTCACAGAGGGGAGAAGGAGGGGCTGTCACGCCGCTCGCTTCTTCTTCCTCGACTGCTGGCCGAAATTCTGGGTTGGCTGCGCCTGAGCTGCAGACGGAACCGGAGATTTTCTAGGCCAGCTCGCCCTCGTCTCCAGCCTGGGCTGGGGACTCGGGGCGGGCTGCGACCTCTGCGTCTTCGAGCAGGGTTCGAGGCAGCTTGGGCGAAGGACTGCTGCTGCGAAGGACTGCTGCTGCGAAGGACTGCTGCTGCGAAGGACTGCTGCTGCGAAGGCAGCGGCTGGACCCTTCGAGGGAGGCAGAGGTGGAGTGCCTCGTCCTCCTTCTTTTTCGACTCACACCTCCTTTGCATGGAAGCAAGAGCGGAGCCGAAAATTCCCTCGGGAACGATGGGCATATCCAGCACATCCTCATTTTCCCGGTCTTGGAGGTTGGTGAGGTTGAGCCATCTCGCTCTTTCCTGCACCACCATGATCCCCATTGCCTTGCCCGTGGCCTGGACGGCGCAGCGTTGGACACGAAGACAAATGTCCGTGACCGCTGCCATCTCGTCCAGAGTGGCTGCCCCCGGGTTACCCGACAGGTCCTCGCAGAGCTCCGCTTGGTAAGCGGTTAGCAGCGAGGACACATTCAGGGCCCTGGCGGACAACGCTGCGGCTTTGTAGGACCGTTCAGTCATTGTCGACTGAAATCGGTCCGACTTTGCTGGCAGCGTGGGGTTCCTGCTTGGTGACGGGCCCATCCTCGGTAGGAGGTGGGCCGCTACCAGCGGTTCCATGGGCGGTATGCGGAGCAGGCCGAGCTTCTCCATTCCGTCACAGTCTAGGGAGGAGGCACCCTGGATTGGGACCTTGTTGCTGAAGGGCCAGTCTCTCCACGAGACCGACACCTCATCCAACATCTCCGGGAAGACCGGAAGGTGTTGCCTCTTTGTCCGCGCTGCTTGGGGAAAATGTTTCCCTTCGTAGTGGGACCCGGAGGTCTCCTTGGCCATTTCAGGCCACGGGATGTCCAGTCTGGCCGCGGCGCGTTTACACACGGCCTGCAGGTCCATGCTCAGACAGGGCGAAGCTGGTGTGCTATCGCCCGGGAGAGCAGCCCTCGCTCCAGGCTTTGCAGCCTGAGCCGATGACATGAAGATGTCCTCTTCATGTTCATCCGACTCGGACAGGAGGAACACCGAGGCGTCCTCTTCGTCCTCATCGTAGTCCAGCTCGAGGACATCCTCCGCGGGTGAGACCATGGTGAGGTCTAACCGGGAGCCCCAGCTCGGTAAAGCGTGGGGTCCCGTTCCTGCGTGTCTTGCCGTCACCGGGTCCCGGCTTGCCAGGGCGCGGGATTCCGGTTCTGCAGCCATCGCAGATAATGAGCCCCAGACCGACACGGAGAGGGGTTCACTCTCTGCGGCGGACGCCCCCGCGTCTTGACTGCCGGCCGGCAGGTCAGTGGACATGGGGGGGTCCTGCTCCGACAGGATAGCTTGGCGTGCTAGCCGTCGGCGGAGGCTCTTCACGGTGAAGCGGACACAATGTCCGCACGAGCCGGGGTTGTCGATAGCGCCTCGGGCGTGTTCCAGCCCGAGGCAGGACGAGTAGACCTGGTGTGTGTCTGTGCCCGAGATCTTCAACCCGCATCCACAGAGTCGAGCCACCGAGTCCCTGACTCCTCTGGTGTGAGGGAGAGAGGCGTCCATCTTGTTCGCCTCGTGGCATGGAGAGGTCCCGCTCTCAACAGGTAGGTTGGGAGAAAAAAGGTGTTACCACCCTGTCCTTAATCCGGAGAAAAGGACGGTGTGGGTCTTTTATTCCCGGAGAATACTGACTGGTGTGACAGTATGCTCCTTTAATCCTTTCGTCCTCCGTGGGGAAGAGAAAAGAAAAAACGTCCTCGCTACCGTGGTGTCGATAGTGAGGGAGCGAGCTAACGCTAGCTTGAAAAAGTCAGACCTACCTTACTTTCCGGGGAAAGAGAACGGCGAGGTCGATTTCAATACTAACTGGCGTTAGTATTACCGTCTTCCTGCGAAGCAGAAGGAGTAGCCGGCGAGCGCCCGTCGACCGAAATGGTTATTTGGGTTCAGTCTGTGGACCGTTAAGCTTGTCCGGCTACTATAGAGATGTGCTCTGAAGCGAGAAGAGGTGTTTGAATGACGCATGCGTCGTGGCGCAAGCTACTTATAGGGGGTGAATTCCCTGACTCTGACGTCAAGATCACCAGCCAATCAGGATTGGCGTAATGAGATTGATGCTTCTGTTTGCTCCGCGATGAGGCGCATCTCATAGTGAGACATCGAACGGAGTGTTATGAATGAGAACTGTCAGTTATAAGTGTTTACCTTTTAAACTGTCAAAAAAAAAGTCAAGTCAGTAAATTCACCTACATATTTCACAAATAAATGAATAGTTGTAACTAAATGAGAACTTCTTAAATATGAATTATTTTTTATATTTAGTTATATATAACCTTGGAATCAGATGTGTGGAAGTAAGCAACTTCCTAAATGATATGATCAATATACCTGCTGGATACAAACATAATTGTGTAGCTTGTTATGTGAGCCAAGGCTTCCTTACCTACTCAAAGGAGTTTAGGGACCTTGATCACATCGATGTTTGTGTTTGTTGAAAACTTGTAGCAGGTCTGGGAAGCCAATTCGAGTTAAACTCAACCTTGACATGTCAGGACTAACTAAACTCAGCCACAGTCTCCTTCAGTATTTATTAAATTCAGCATTTCCTATTCCAGTCAGAGAGACTTGCGTCAACCAAATCATTTCTAAATCTGTCAACAGAAGGGTGAGTCATAATCAGAATCAGAATACCTTTATTAGTCCCACAGAGGGGACATTTGCATCTTTACAGTAGGAAAGAGCCACAGACAGCTTAATGTTACATTAAAAAAAAGTACTAAGTTATGATATAATAAAAAATATAATAAAAAAATAAAAGTAAAAAAAATACTTTTCAAAATACAAATCCTGTAACAGTTCTTAGGATTTAGCAGCCAGGTATATATTTCACAGTTATTAATGGCATATGTATATACTAATGTATATATTGCACATATAGCACTTATTGCACATAGTTTGATGGTATTTAACAGCAGCAAGTTACACAATTTACAAAATGCAAAAAACACACACCTTGTAACGGTTCTATGGATTTAGCAGCCTGGTATAAATTACACAGTTATTAACGGCATATATATATATTGCACATATAGCACATATTGCACATAGTTGATTGGTATTTAGCAGCAAGGGGTGATATAGTCTGTGTTGTGGTGTGTGTTGGGGAGGGGGGGTCTACTAGGGGCTGTGCTGGTTGTAAAGTCTGACCGCTGCAGGAAGGAAGGACCTGCGGTATCTCCGTGAGACAGCAGGGGTGCAGCATCCTGTCGCTGAAGGAGCTGCACAGTGAGGACATGGTGTCCTGGAGGGGGTGGGACATATTGTCCAGCAGGGAGGACAGCTTGGCTGCCATTCTCCTGTCTCCCACCACCTCCACAGTATCCAGAGGACTCCCCAGGACAGAGCTGGCCTTCCTTACCAGTCTGTTCAGTCTCTTCCTGTCAGCACCCGAGATGCTGCTGCCCCAGCAGGCCACACCATAGAAAATGGCTGATGCCACAACAGAGCTGTAAAAAATCTGAAGGAGTGCCCCCTGCACCCCGAAAGACCTCAGTCTCCTCAGCAGAAAAAGTCTGCTCTGTCCCTTCTTGTACAGAGCAGCAGAATTATCAGTCCAGTTTATTGTTCAAATGAACACCCAGGTATTTGTAAGATTTCACAATCTCAATGTCCGCTCCCTGGATGTTCACTGGTGTCGGGGGGGAGTGTTGGCACCGTCTGAAATCCACCACCAGTTCCTTGGTCTTCGCTGCGTTCAGCTGGAGGTGGTCCCTCTGGCACCAGAAGGTGAAGTCCTGCGTCAGCTCCCTGTACTCCCTGTCATCCTCGTTGGAGATGAGGCCAACGATGGCGGAGTCGTCAGAAAACTTATGCAGGTGACAGGTTGCAGTGTTGTGGGTGAAGTCTGCAGTGTAGAGGGTGAAGAGAAACGGTGCCAGCACCGTCCCCTGGGGGGCCCCCGTACTGCTGATGATGGTGTCTGATTGACACTCCCTGGTCCTCACGTACTGTGGGCGGTTGGTGAGGTAGTCCAGGATCCAGGAGGTGAGGTGGTGATCCACCCCAGAGAGCTGCAGCTTGTCCCCCAGGAGCGGGGGCTGAATGGTGTTGAAGGCACTGGAGAATTCAAAGAACATGATCCTCACAGTGCCCCCAGCCTTCTCCAGGTGGGAGAGGGACCTCTGCAGCAGGTAAATGACGGCGTCATCCACCCCAATGGCAGGCTGGTAGGCGAACTGCAGCGGGTCCATTGATGGTCCCACAAGGGGCCGGAGGTGTCCAAGGACCAGCCTCTCCAGGATCTTCATCAGCTGTGATGTCAGCGCCACCTTCCGGTAGCTGTTGAATTCCTTGGGGTGAGGGATCTTTGGCACAGGTACCACACAGGACGTCTTCCACAGTTGTGGTACCCTCCCTTGCTTCAGGCTCAGGTTGAATAGAAGCTCCACAATCCCACACAGCTGATCCGCACAGGATTTGAGGAGCCTCGAGCTGATGCCATCTGGACCCACCGCTTTCCTCGCCTTACGGCCCGTCCACACAGCGGCGTGCGTTGAAGCTTGAACGTTCTGCCCATTCACTTTGAATGGGGTGACTTTCACGCATCGCCGAACTGCATTGTGGGAGCAAAGCGTAGCTTTTCTCGCGGTGCTCGCTGCAAAAAGTTGAACAATGTTCAACTTTTGAAGCTTCGACGGAAGCGTCAGCCAATCGAATCATATGCCAGTACAAGCTCTAGCCAATGAAACTGCTGCTTGTGTGTCCGGGGCGGGAAATTCAGGTGATTGGTTGTTGGTCTAGCTTCAGACATGCCCGCTGGCAAGCGACAACGCACGCTGCTATATGGACGGGCCGTTACACTTCTGCAGCTCCCTCCTCACCTGGTTGGTTGTGAAGGACAAGGTGTCGTCAGCGGGTGGAGAAGAACCAGGGGCTGATGTGAGAGGTGTCTGTGAGCTGATGGCCAGGGGCTGAGTAGAGGTGGGAGGGGTGACAGGGCCATTTCCAGGCAGTGGAGACAATGGGGGGTGCAGCAGGGGGGAATTGGTCGGGGGTTGGGGGGGAGGGCGCATGACTGATCAAATCTGTTGAAGAAGTTATTCAAGTCGTTTGCCCACTGGCTTTCATAATGGGGAGCTATAATATCAAAATATATCTGTCTGTTTCTAACGGTTCTCAAGGATATACAGGTATTCAACACACACAAGCCCCTATACAATTTAGATTTTAGTTTTAAACATGATATCCTCTCTCTTTAAAAATTGGTTTCATATACGCAATAGCACCAAATGAACTAACAAAATGTTTCTGTTATCTCCAAGTTTGTTTTACATGTATATTTGTATGCCACTAATGCATTATACTTGCTACAAAGGATTAATGTAATATCACTGTCCTTTAACCTAAACTGAGAATGCAAGAAAAAAACGGAACATTATAAACTTTTCAAAAGGTACAATACAAACAGCTGTATTGAATTGCATTAGATTGTAGAGGTATATCTTATTAAGTGACCACTGAGTGTAAATGTCAATACAATAAATCCCCCTGTCCAACCGAAGGGTACTCAAATCCCAAAGGTTGCTGCTTGTTGCTGTAATTCCAAATATTCTTGTTTTTTAGCTCTGTAACCTTCTTCCTGTTAGAGCAGAGGAGATGAAGTGATGATCTCCACTTTACATTTCTCATGTGTTGCCTGTTTTAACAATGTGTTTGCTGGGCCTGTGTTGTCAGCTCGGTGCAGTGGGGTGTTGTCTGAGATGAGTGGTGTCATCCTCAGTCCGGGTTTCCCTGGCAACTATCCCGGCAACCTGGATTGCACCTGGCAAATCACCCTGCCAACTGGATATGGTAAGTATTATGGGATAAAGAGCATTCAGTACATCTCTTGGTCTATTTGGGAAAACAAATACTTTTTTCTAGCACCAACTCTGCAGCAGCAACATAATATTTATTGAAAGCTTTTTAATGCTGTTTAATGAGCAGTGGCGAGCCGTGACTTTTATACCTAGGCCCTCTGACCCCCACCCCTTCCCTCAAAAAAAAAAAAAAAAGGGAGTTATTACGTCACAGTGTATACTTCAGCTAAATATAAAAACAACGGCCCAGGGTGCAAAACGCATCAATGAAAGCAACCCTCTACCACACAAAACAACACCTGTAAATAACCCAATTTGTGTTCTTTGAAATTGAAAAGGATATTGCATTGTGTTTGTTACTTTCGTTGCAGTTGTATGTCTTCAGTGTAATTTGGCATGCTTTTATTTTGAAGGCGAGTTTACGCTGTTGACAGGAAGTTGTTGTTGCTATGGAAACAAGAAAAGCTTCACAGCGGGCGGAACTTGTCATAAAGTCCGCGATAATAAAACCCACCCATTTAGAGGGAAGATATGATTGGTCAATTTTACTGTCATTTGACATTACTCTTTCGTTCAGTTACTATAGCTGGCCCTCTGTGAATTCATAGCTGGACGTCCAATCAGCTCCTGTCTTCACCTCGCAGAGACAAGCTTCTTTCATTTAACCCTTCACATTCAATCAGAAACTGAATAGGCAGATTTGAAGGATTTATTTCTTTGGAAATGTTATTTTAAATACAATTAAATGAAGTTATTATGGTAAAACGAATGACAAATATAACTAAAAATATATAAAAAAAAAATATATATTTAAAAATGTTTTTAAATATTATTTTGTAGAATATCTTACTGAGGGCCTAAGATATTCTGCGGCTCGCCACTGTAAGTGATGGTTTGAAAATAAACCTTTTATGTATGTATTTTGGCATGGAATACATGTCCATGTGTGTAAATATTGCTAGATTTGAGTGGAAAGGATATGACATACTTCTTTCATTAATGCTTATTATTAATGATCAAAGACTTGATTCTTGTCATTTCTATTGCTTTGGTAATCTTTGGTATCCTTGGGACTGATTGTGAAAATATGTTCAAAATAAACTACATTGCATTCATTAAAGATAAGTTTTACTGTTATTATCATATATATATTTAATATGTTTTAGTCTAATACAATCTGTGTATGTATTCTAGGAGCACATATTCAGTTCCTAAACTTCTCTTCTGAAGACAACCACGACTTCCTTGAGGTCAGAGCTGGACCACAGCACAGCTCTGCTCTGATTGGACAGTTTACTGGCTCTCAGATCCCACCCCTTCTGCTGAGCACTACCCACCTGACGGTCATCCACTTCTACAGTGACCATTCAGAGAACAGACCGGGGTTTAAACTAACCTATCAGGGTGAGTTTACGTGTGATTTTTGAATGTTGACCTAAGGCCACAAACCCTTAGGTGTCCCTGCAGGCGCTTCCAGTTGAAAGTGGCCCCTCAAGGGACTAAACCTGTGTTCATATTGAGCCAACGGTTGGGAACACAAGATGGTTCCTTGAATGATTTAGAAAAGAGAGATGGACTGCCTATGGTTTCTGAATAATCCTAGTCCCCACATAACAAAGCCTTCTCAACTCCAAGAATGAAGGCTTCAATGAAAAAATGCATCGCTATTAGGTTTTGAGCTTTGATCCGTGGATGAGGCATGCTAAAGACTTAAAAAAAACGTATAGCTTTCCTCTCATCATTAAAAGAGATGGATTGTTAGTAAGCCCTGTGAGGGACTGGCATCTTGTCCAGCAGGCTTTGCTCGTAGCCCTAAGTGTTTCACTTCAAAGACACCAGAGATGCACTGTGGGTCTATACGCCAGCATAAGTAGAGCACGGCTTACTTACACATAGGCTAACCCACATGCACATAGTCTTTTTACCCTTTTTTCCTCCTAATTTGCAATGACATAGTCCCCTAAAACGGCATCTCTTGTCACTGCTTACTTCCACTTTCGGCTTTTGAAGCTTGTAGACATATTTTCCTTAAATAAAGTTGCACCAGATGCTTTTTTTCATCTGACATCAACTATCCTGTCCTGTCATAATACAATGATTGGTTTTGTTGAATGAAAACATTGTGAGAGCTCTGACAGGGTGCATGATTTCGGCCCGCAGCACTTAATGACATAAGCTCAGGTTCTGTTTTAAAGGTCCAGGAGGTATATGGTTCAGTAGGCTGAATTGCAGTGTGCACATCCACAAAATCTCAGAGGGATAAGTGCAAAAAATCAATAGAAAGTACCCTCACAGTGATTTTTAGACCCATATGTCGCTAATAACATCTTTAGGGAGATCTGATTCCAGTTTTAGTGTTTGGCACTCTGACATCGTACGTTCTTGATTGTAGTTTCACAGCCGCACATACTCCCCTATGACTGACAACTTTTGGCTTACATTTTCCACATTCTCTCCTCAGCCCCCGGTATCACTTTATCCTTTCCATCTCTTTCCCTTGATGCTGCTTTCACATGGGACCTCTACTGTACATCTGTCACTACTTACTTTTCTGTTCCTTCTGTATTTCCACTATGTCCAGGTCTTTTAGTCAATATTTGTATAGCGGTCGGTATCTAAAAGTGGCAGGGGTACTCAGTTCTGACGTTCTTAAGTGTCCTTTGTGGTGTCTCCAATCAGGACTTGGGATGGTTTAGCCCACAGGTGTTCCTGTACACATGCAGTTTCTTCCTGCATAAAGGTAGCCTGGCAGCAACTGTTAGTCAACTTTTTATTTTTGGTGATGCCCCTTGAAGTCTATATACCTCAGACAGAAAAGTTTTGACTGAAATTTGGCAAGCAGCCATATGGCGCATTTCCACTACAGCGCGGAGCTCGCTTTAAGCGTGCCGTGCCCGGCCCGTTTTTGGTTGCGTTTCCACTTGGCGTAGTACCGGCTAGCAGGTACTATTTCACAGTTTTTCTGGCTCTCCAAAATCGAGGTTCTTTCCGGGCCAACAACCGGGCTGAGTATGCTAAACTAGAAAGAGAATCGCTGGCAAGGGGGCTACAACTACAACAAAATGAACATATTTGACCGTGATTTAATTGTAATACACTTTTCAAAATGATGCTGAAGTAACAACAGACTGATACCGGTTAGTAAAAACCATGAATTAATGCTTTGACAAGTCTGCAGACAGACGGCAGGCGAAAAACCTTTTAAAATGCTTGTTTTCTAAATGGAGATCGGCTAAGCTAACGCAGTATATGCTCCGTCCGTCCACACTCACAACAACGGCCTATACAGACATAAATAAAGCAGCGACTGTATTCGCCATGACACAGACAGTCTGTGGTTTGTACTTGTTTAACTTTTGTCTAGTTTCTGAACAGATATGAGGAGCTGTGAGTTTGAGTGCTAACGGCTGATGTTGTTTTTCTGTGGTTCTCATTGAAGATGACGTCACGGCTCCGCCTACACTGCGTTACTATAGTTACTGCCCCAGCTACTAAACTGTAATGGAAACGCAGCATAAAGTGAGCCAGTCCTAACAAGTCCTAACAAGGCCTAACGAGGCCTAACGAGGCCTAGCCATACCGAGCGAGGCCCTGTAGTGGAAATGCGCCATTAGTGAGCTGCTGTTTAAGGCTACAGGGTACAATGCTAATAAACACATTCACAAATACCTTTGGTAATCTCAGTTGAATTGAATCGTATAACCTTAAAAATCAAGTGTATCTGAAATTAAGTTTCCAATTATTTCCACTCTGAAAGTTATTTTCTTTATCTGTCTCTTCAGCCTATCAACTTCAAAACTGCCAGGACCCCTTTCCTTTCCTCAACGGTGACATCATCAACGGTGACTACAGCGCTGGCCAATCAGTAACTTTTCAGTGCTACCCCGGTTATGTTTTGATCGGACACCCTGTCCTAACGTGCCTGCACGGGACCAACCGGAAGTGGAACCACCCATTTCCACGCTGTGAGGGTAAGAAGAATAACCAATGAAATGTTTTATACTATTTGATTTGATGGGTGATTAGTATGTATCAAGATTACAATTAAGATACAAATGTACAATTGTCACATTAGCCAGTTTATGTTGTGTGGTGATCCATTGTTTCCCAGAACATCCCCATCCATCAGGTTAAATGGTCATTTAAAGTCTAGACATTTGGAAAATGTTGTTATCCTAATTGAGTTTTAGAGAATGTAATCTCATCTTTCATCAGTACCACAAGCGCTATAAAGCAGCAGTTAAGAAGAAAGTGAATATTCCTATGTCACTTAGATATTTTACTTTATACATCAGTAGCACACTCATTGTTCTTATTAATAGCACCACTGCTGCTGCTTTTACTAATACTACTACAAATAATAATGATATTTATATTCCACACTGTCTATAGTTAAATATACATCTCCATCGTTTCAGGACTAGCAGGTTAGACGAATGGGACAAATTTGCACATAGATAATCTCATAACTCTGCTTTTTACAGCTCCTTGCGGCTATAATGTCACAGCTGAAAACGGGACAATCTATTCACCTCAGTACCCCATTGAATACCCCAACTTTCAAGACTGCAGCTGGCTCATCACTGTTCCCCACGGACACGGAGTTTATATCAACTTTACCTTATTGCAGACGGAGCCTGTCACTGATTACATCGCTGTCTGGTAAGCCTGGGTACACTTGAACTTACATGCACACACACACACACATATTCACTCAAATGCAAAAGCTTCTTTTCATTGTTGCCCTTTATCCTTGGCCCGATTTCATCACTGACAGCTAAGTCTTGAATTGACTTGCATCCTGCCTCCTCTCTGAACACCAATAAGAAGTTATATCAACTTTTGATTCTGTTTTTTATTATCATTCTGTCCCTCTCTCTCTCACACACACACTCACACTCACACTCACACACACACACACACACACACACACACACACACACACACACACACACACAAACAAACTATGGGCTCAGAACAGTCTCATAATACACACATGCACACAGAAGAATTCACACTTGTATTTCATGATCCGCAAAAGGATTCAGACTTGTATTTCCGGATCCACACTTGTGTTTTTCAATGCACACACAAATGTGTTCTGTTTCATATATATGTAAATAAAATCCAAATACATAAAAAAGTTTCACATATGTATTTTTGATCCTCACATATTTGTTTTCCGTTTAAAACCGCTGCACCTGCAAACACAACCCGCTCTCTGTGAACGGATCGCTGTGCATTCGTGTGTGGGTTTTTTGAGACTCCCCTGACAGTCAGCCGATTCATACTTGTAATTTTTTCTATCTATAGCCAATCAGATGTCTCCTTCATTCTAAGTCAATCACATGAGCGCGCCCCCACGAGGGTATGATTTCTTGCGTTCATGACACTTCATATATACGCATTTTGCGCTGTCCAGTCAGCTCGCTAAACAGAGGGCGGAGCTTCAGGTGATCATGCAGAGCTGCGTGTCTCCGTCAGACTCAGCAGCTGATCTGATCTCTCTCGCGTCCGGTTATACTTCACTCGCGTTTATGTCCATATCGATCAGATCCAGCTCTCCTGATCGGCCTTTATAGAGAGCACCGATCAAACTAGTGAATATCGGCCGATAATGACCGGCGGGGCTCCCCCCGTTGACAGTTCACTGTCTAGCACTGGCTTCGTAGTGCACTGATCGATTAAGCTAACCTGTAGCTGCTCCCTCCACACTCACAACAACTTCATACAGACAAAAATAAAGCAGCTGTATTCGCCATACAGGAAACACACATTTAAAACGGTTTTGCCTGCCATTTTGTGTACACAAGCATTCATCAATGGTTCGGAAAGTGGCGCTGTACCTTAATAATATAAAAGATTGTATTCGCGTGCATTTCCTGTTCGGAAAGTGGCAATGTACTGAGAGTGGAGATGTCCTGAGATTAGCGCCTGCAGGCAGGCTCCATGGACCTGTCAGCTCCGGACTGCGCAAAATGCGTAGATGAAGCGCTACGTCATGAACGCAAGAAATCATACCCTCGTGGGGGTGCGCTCATGTGATTGGCTTAGAGTTGAGGAGACATCTGATTGGCTATAGATAGAAAAAATTACAAGTACGAATCGGCTGACCGTCAGGGGAGTCTCAAAAAACCCACACACGAATGCACAGCGATCCATGCACAGAGAGCGGGTTGTGTTTGCAGGTGCAGCGGTTTTAAACGGAAAACAAATATGTGAGGATCAAAAATACATATGTAAAACTTTTTTCTGTATTTGGATTTTATTTACATGTATATGAAACGGAACACATTTGTGTGTGCATTGAAAAACACAAGTGTGAATCCGGAAATACAAGTTTGAATCCTTTTGCGGATCATGAAATACAAGTGTGAATCCTTCTGTGTGCATGTGTGTATTATGAGACTGTTCTGAGCCCATAAACAAACACACACTTCTGCTTTCTCTCACACACACTTTTATTAGTGGTAACCTTATTCCTGGCATTGATGGCTAGTGTTCATTTCGTCAGCTATTTTTTAATTTAGTTTTAGTCTTAGTCCTGTGTTAAATTTCCTTTTTAGTTTTAGTCATATTTAGTCACCTTCATCCTGTTTTTATTTAGTCAAGTTTTAGTCGACTAAAAGTCTGAGCATTTTAGTCTTATTTTAGTCAAAGAAAACTAATTATTTTAGTCTACTTTTTGTCAATGAAAACTGTTGAGTCTTTTTTAGTCATCAGATTATATAGAACATTTCTGTCAAACTAGTCTAGCCAAAACCAATAATTTGTCATTTTAGCATATATAAATAAATAAGATTATATCTTGTCCTTATTTGATGAAAAACACAGGTTGAATGATTAAGAAGCTTTGCAGAGAGTATCTGCTCAGGTTTGTGGTGTTTTCACTAGCTGTGTTTTGGCCACATTGCTTCCCTTCTGATGAAACAATGCATTCGCTTTTTTTCTCCGCCTCATTGTAGCGAAAATGGGCCCAAATATCACATTGTTCTCCCAAGCAGTGGTGGCTTTAGACTTTTTCGTTGTCAGTCATTTTGACGGACAGGATCGTAACATTTCCGTCATAATCCATTATTATCCGTCGAGTGCACAATTTATCAATCACTCGCGCTGACGGGGGGATATTCGGTTAACGCGAGTGCGACCACCGCTCCCAAGCCCTGTTGTTGCCATTTCATTTTCTGTTGAATAAGGTTAGTTAGACCATGAGTTAGACCCGAGTCTTCCTGACAGTTCATATTGTGCCGCTGCCCGGTGTAATTCAAATCTACCGCCGCGCGCAGCACGGACACACAGCTGCTGCCCTGCCGCAGCACCGGAAATGGAACTGCTGGGAGAAAAACTGACTATCAGAGATGTAACGTTATCTTTGATAATATTTCGTCTCCTCATTTTTCGTCATCGAAAGTAAAGAGAGATTTTGGCATAGTTTTTATTTAGTGAACTACATTTTCGTCTCGTCACTTTTTTTTTTCTTCATGATGATTTAGTTGCAGTTATTGTTTACTGCCGTCTCGTCATCGTCTCGTTTTCGTCATGGAAAAAAAGGTCGTTGACGAACATATTTCGTCATAGTTTTAGTCAACAAAATGAACACTATTGATGGCATGTCTTTCTTACCTGTACAAAGGAATTTACAGAGAAAACATCAGTGTCAATTGTTTATGATATCATACAGCGACATACACAAAAACCCATATGGATCTGTGTATGGCCTGGTTTATGCACAGGGATCACAGCAACATACAATACTAATACATACACCCATATATACTATGTGCTATGCATAGAATGAATATCCTGCAGTAATAATGGGATTCACTGTGGAGGTCAGATTGTAACAGGGAGTGTGAGAGTAATGCATTTACAATGGGACCACTGACCAATTCAATCTAACTCGGCACCATGGCCATAGGCAGACCCAGAGAGGGCTTAGGAACTCTGGCAGTAATGATGAGATTCAGTGAGGAGTGGGAAATGTAATGAAAGGAGCTGGGTTCACATATCCAATGGGACTCGGATGGCTCTGACAAGTTTGGGTCAGTGCGAGAGACATTTCTCACTCAATACAGTTTTGGAAAAATAATATAAAACAGTGAATCTATTACTAATACAATTAAGATCAAGTAGGATTGTGTCACTCACTGTCATCATCTGGTGGAGGTTGGTTTTAGGAAATACATATTTGGTGTTAGGTTGAAGCCAGTCTATAATTGTCATGCTCCAGAGTAAAGCTCTAGGGAGTGAGTAGTTGAAATGCAGGCAGTGGGAAAGTAATACATTTACACTCTGGGACTACTCGCTTTCAATCTCACCAGCTACCAGCGCTATGGATATAGCTACTGTATGGAGAGGCACAGCATCAAGTTATTTTGTAGTTGCAACTAGATTTCTGTGATTTATTTGGCACATTACACAGGGAACAAAATCCTCGATTGTAGGGTACCAAAAGACATCTGTGATGTGAGATTAGTGCATAAATGATGGACTGTTGCACTGTTCAATCCTGCTTTATTTCCCAACACATGAATATATTTGCAAGTGACTGGGGGCCGACACTGAAGGAAAAGTGCTTTGCTCAGAGCCAGTGGGATAGCATCTACCTTCCAGGGCCTTAGACGGATTTAGAGTGAGTGATCTGAAGGTCCGCTGATACTGCATTACACACATGTAAATAGAAAAGGAAACGGCAACGTCCAGAATAATCATAAAACATAGTCTTATTTTAAGATGGATAGATGGATTCAGTCATTCATTCATTTTAAATTAATATGTCATTCTCTAAGAAACGACAGAAATTCTCCAATAAAATATATTTGTTGTTATACTTCAAGGCAGATGTACTGTAGATATTGATTTCAGCGAAGTGGAAACACCCAGAATTGCTTTCCAGTTGTTGTCAGTCAGATCAAAGGCTGTTGCATCAGTGACTCTGCTCTGGACACCTTCTTTTCTGGACGGAGATGCATTGCTCATCTGAGCTTCGATAGATCTTCTATTCTATTTTTGTAATCCCTAATATCTTTTTCAGTGAGTCTTTGGCTTATTTTGACTTTGAGAATGTAATTTGCTTTTCATGTTGAAAGTTGTAGCAACAGGAGAGGTACTGTACAGAACAACGGATGTACACTGAGTCCATGTCATTAATGACACACAGAGTAAAGTGTTCATAGAACATTGCCTTTGTTCAGGTTGAGTGTGTTCAATGCCATAAGTATCAGCTGGCTTACAATCACCTCACACTCAAACAAGTCAATGAGGTTGTTTTCTTACTCATCTGAAGAGCCTACATTTACACTTCTCTGATCACTCATTCTACCGCTGTCAGTAGTTATGCTGATTTCCTCCTCCGCCAGCCTCCTCGTGTTCTCGCTTCTCATTAATCAAACTTGTGATGAATGTCTTTTGCCTTTGTGAATCACAATGTCCTGTTTTTTCCATAACTCAGTGATGTGTATCTTCTGGTTTCTGCCCTGTATACCCCTGGGGTTTATGTGACGGCAGCTGCATCCAGATGTCAGGGACTGAAGCCAAACTGTCTCTATGCTCTGCAACCAGCCGAAGTTTGGCTTCTTGCCTAATATCACTGGACCACTTCTAACAGTGGTCTATGGATCTAACACCAGAGCAACACAGTAGTTCTCCTAAAATCATCTGTCTCTAAAGTCTGGTTTGACTAAATGTGTACATGGTGTAAATGTATACACATACAAACTCAGAAAAAGACAATGTTTTATATCAGTGTACTTTCTTTTTCAGCATTAAGAGTTCACTTTATTTTACAAAGACTTTTTTTTGTTGGATCCACTTTTTTCTTCAAACCAGGACTCTGATAGGGTTGTGAAAAAAGTGCAGTGGTTTTACTGTAGGAGGGGGGAAATGTGATTTGGTTGATGGTGAATCATGTCAGCCCCATCTCTCTTCTATCTGTTAATGTATTCTTTCCAATTCCAGCCTATTCCCAGCTGCAGTGGGCTCTTGTCAATCACCTGTAGGAGATAGACAGAATAGATAACTCTTAATAAATCAAACTTCCTTTAAACCCTTATTTCTAGAGGTAAGGCTTACTTAAAACATTTTCTGCTCACGTATCAGCAGTGTTTGAGCTTCACAAACCAGCAGCCTTTTAGCCTCACAAGCTTACATCTTATGGTTCGAGGGGACTGACTCTATTAAATGGGTTTCATTGAACCTGATTCTTTCACTGAGGGAAAGGTCACTAACAAACTCTGGGAGCTAAGTCCAAGTCTTCTCTGTGCTGTTGTCCAATGTATTTACTTTTTCAGAAACAAGTTAAAAATATATAGTAATTACAACCCCCAAAAACACGTTATAATAAATGTTAAATGCATATGATAATTATATATTGGTTCTGTATATGTTCTCTAAGTAAAAATAGAGCCACAACATTCTAGGTCTGCTTTATTTTAAATGACCCAAAAAGCACATTTTGATTCTCCAAATGAGCTGCAACACCTTCAGAAGGCCTTGAATTATTGAGCAGCCATGAGATCCCAGGCGCTTCTCATGAATAAAATGTTAAAAACCCTTGTTTAATCCAATGGCATGTTCATTAAAAATCGAAAACTGGGCATTTAGGAACTTTAGAAAATGTAACCTTTCAGCAACATTCAATATTTAATGAGTTAAGTTAAGCCTTTAATCCACAGGCTTTGTTCAATGAACTTGTGTGAAATAGGTTAAAAAAAGCATACAATATTTGTTCTGCCCTTTAAAAAGCCAGGCGTGTGGTAGATACATGTTTTATTTTATTAATAAAGGTTGCTTTTGGTCTGTCTTTCTCAGTGTTATTACTTTTAATCAGTGAAAGCAAATGCAAGATTAACATTTCCTAAAAGGTTCAGACTGATCCAAATCCCTGACTTGCCTTTAGTGCTGTGGCAGACAACCAGTCAGCGGTTTGTTTATTCAGTATGATTTTAATTACCTAATCAATGTAGCCATTTAGGATTTTCATCACTATTATGGATTTTCATTATAAAGAATCCACTCAGACACTTTTGGAGATAATCATGGATTTGTAATAAAATATTTTTTCTGGTGATGTGGGGTTAAATGTTGCCGGCAAATCAATGAGACAATCCATATATTTCTACTCAGAGTAGAAGAGAAAATAAAAACTGTTGCAACTAATGGAGGTTGAGCCTGGGCAGATACAGTGCACCAGTGTTCCAGATTTACCCTCAGGTTACCTTTTAGTTTCATTACATTAATATTCCCATGAGTAAGATGTTACTCAGACTATGGCTGGTAATCCCCTGCAATACCCCAATACCTCTTTGAATCTTTTTAGTTTAAGGGCTTTGCTTGCAATGTAGAAAAGGATTTGTGGAACAAAAGTAAATCAGAGAAACAGTTATCTTTTTTTATTACACATAGTTGTCTTTCTGCCAGCTGTTACGTGACTTTTGGTTTCTCTCTGTCCATCCAACTATGTGCAATATGTGCAATATATACATTATATGCATATGCCATTAATAACTGTAATATATACCTGGCTGCTAAATCCTTAGAACTGTTACAGGATTTGTATTTTGAAAAGTATTTGTTTTACTTTTATTTATTTTATTATATTTTTTATTATATCATAACTTAGTACTTTTTTTAAACATATGTAACATTAAGCTGTCTGTGGCTCTTTCCTGCTGTAACGATGCACATTTCCCCTCGGTGGGACTAATAAAGATATTCTGATTCTGATCCGTCTTCTGCAATTATTCCAATGTTTTGTGCTTCCAGTTTAACCATCGTCTGTCGTCTGTGTTCCTCTCTCCGTGTCTTCATTCAGGGACGGCCCAGAGATGTCTAGTCCTCAGCTGGGAGTCTTCAGCGGCAACACAGCATTGGAGTCGGCCTACAGTACCAGCCCGAAGGTCTTGATCCGCTTCCACTCTGACTTTTTCCACTGGCGGGTTCTTCTTCAATTCTCAACTACCATGGTACAGATACAAACGCACACCAAAACCCTGTAGTATAAGCATGCTCATATGTAGCTGTGTACAGTGGTACAGCTTATACTGCACAAACAGTTAGACACATACGGTATATACAAATAGTTATAGGGACAGAGCAAACCACAATTTTTAACACTGCCAAATCATGGCACAGCAGCATAATGCACTAGAGTGTTTGAGTGGCCATCTGCGTCCCTGAATAGACCAAAGTGTTTTCCTAATTGGTTAAAATATGTTTTTGTTACATGGACTTTAGTGAAATGAATTGTGAACAGATCATCCACTCTTGGAAATGACCTTTCTTTTATTGTTTGTTTTTTTTCACTATAAATCTAAGGTACATTGATTAACACGTTTCTCTCTCTCTCTATCTCTGAGAGAGAGGAGAGCGAGGAGAGAGAGGGAGAAGGAGAGAGAAGAGAGAGAGAGAAGGAGAGAGCAGAGTGAGAGAGAAAGCTCCCGNNNTCTCTTCTCGACTCTCTCTCTCTCTCTCTCTCTCTCGATCTCTCTCTTCTCTCTATCTCTCTCTCTCTCTCTCTCTCTCTCTATCTTCTCTCTCTCTCTCTCTCTCTCTCTCTCTCTCTATCTCTCTCTCTCTCTCTCCTCTCTCTCTCTCTCTCTCCCCAGCCTACCGTCTGAAGAAATGTCCTGCTCCGCCTGTTGTGGAGAACTCAGAGGTGATCTACGAAGATGAAGACTTCCAGATTGGTAATTCATAATAATAAGATCTTAATTGAATCAAAGTGATGTCGCACCAACTAGTCTACATAACTTCAGCAAACTAAAAAAAAACACCTGGGTTACTTCTTGACCTTTGCTGTTTAATTCAACTTATTTTTTTATTACCTTTTGGGTGGGGGGTGCGGGCATCATACTGTAACATCAAAATGACCCTCACCTGACAGGTCTGACATACTGCCTGTTTTTTGTGGGGTCATTATGCTGTATACTAATGGGCTAAATTACTCTTTACATGCATATTCAACGTGAGAATGCTACTGTTAATTATATTTTGCTTTGTTAGTGAAGCTGTGCCCTCGCTCCAAATAAAATCCACACAGTGTACAACTGTGTGAGCATGTTGTCAGTATCTGTGACACAGAAAGAAACACAAGAGCGAGGAATTCACAAAAGAAAATTAAGTTATTCAAAATTCTTCATTAATATGTCAGTTGCATCTCTTTACTCTCAGTACAGAGATAGGTTTGGGGTGTGTCTGGTGCCTCTTAGCATAAACAGTGACAAACAGCTGGCTCCATCAATGGAGATAAAATAAGCCTTCCAACCCCTCTACAATTGGCTTAATGGTATTTAGAGTAAATATGATGTGTTGTTATATCACTAGTCTCCAATACATTTGAATACCACCTACATTTTGACCAGAAATGCTAACAAAAACGAAGCAGCCTATTCTTTGTCCGTAAATAATTAGGATATTTCCAATCTGTTTGAGCTGAAGAAAAATGCAATGTTAACCCAGTCATGGCTCTGTAATTGGTCAAAAGTAAAAACCTATGTTTGTGCACAGGACAGAGGAAATGCCATGATCTTATAAAGGGGAAGGCAGTGGGAGAGAGAGGGATAGTAAATCTGGAGGGGGGGGGGGTGTTAAGTTCCAATATCAATAATCTTTCTCCAGAATCACTGACTCCACCTTGTATGTGGTTTGTTGACATGTAATACCAGTATGTTCTCTCAAGATTTTGAAATACATTAATTTTGGTAGAAATAATCACATGTCAAGTTCTCCATTTCCCCTCAGTTCTGTGTTATGTGATTTGCTCAAAACATTTACTCTTAGGGTTGGTGACCTTTTGGATCAACAGGAGATGTGTTTTGAAAAAATCAGACATCTCATAAAGCCCCCGCAAGCTCAATTTGCCCCAGCCGATTTATGCAGAGCCTAGCCGCTGCTGGCGAAGTATACAATCATTTTTCTGCAGAAAACTCACATTTTGAAATGTCAGCTTTTTTATGAACTCTGGAAAGTTGGTTGATTTTCGAATAATTAGTTGATTTGGGGGATTTGGGGATTTTACACTTTTAAAGACACTTTTAAAGTGGTCAAACCCCAGAATCAGGAAAGACTTAATTATCCCTCAAATTGATATTAGAAAATGTTCCTTAGATATGATCTTCCTAACAGGACACTAACAATGTACAGAGTGATAATACTACACCAGAGTGACGTCAAATAATTGACACTTACACCACAGCAGCACCTTTCTCAGCGAGACTGAGTACAAATGAGGGCTATTTTAGAATAATCATACACAGAAGTCTCACAAGCCCTCAGAACGTTGGGCTGCATGTACTTAGAATTTTACATTGTCAAACTCTGGCCGGATGGAGTACCTCGGAGACCACACTACCTTTGTTTTTGTCGGTCAGTCTAATAGCCAATTATACAATCTGTGAACACGCTCAAAGAAAGGCTGAATGTTCTTGTTTGTTCTGTTTACCTTTTTTTATAGTCCATGCCTCATGCTGAGAGCTTTGGCACTATGCGCCTCTGGGGCAAAGTTTGAAATAGGCATTAAATCTGGTGGTGGATATGGATATCCTCCCGATTCAAGATCAAAACCCCTTCAAACTTTTTTTCTTTTCAAAACAGGGCACCACATCTTAACTATTTTGGAGCATACAATATTTACAGTTAATATATAAAGACAGTTATTGGTTGCGGTAATCGTCCTCCTGTCTATACTTGGTATAAATAGATCCTTCCTTGCACAAATGTGTATTAAAATACAAATATTATATTCATTCCTTGCAGCAATGTACTCATGCAGACAATTTAAGGCTTTTATATAAAAATCAGTCTTTTTATTGGAAAATATCCCAGGTACGTAGGAGAGCATTAACATCGACTCTGAATCTGCTTTTGGATATGATGTGTCCAGGGATTTGTACTTACTGCACAAACATAAAGACTCAGCAGAAGCACTAGTTAAATGTATAATCTGTGATCATTCAATAGACTTTTTATTTTGTTCCTGCTTAGGTGATATTGTGAGGTACCGTTGTCTACCTGGATATACACTGGTGGGAAAAGCCGAGTTGATGTGTAAACTCAATACCCATTTGCTTTTTGAAGCCCCGCCACCAACATGTCAAGGTAATGCTACTCCCAAACCATAAAACAACATACAGCATGTTTATGTCACAATCATACATTGACTCTGTGTTGTGTCGTTTAAAAAAATCCTCAAACAAATATGAATACATAAAATGTCATAACTATCAAAATTATTCGGAAACCTTGATCCTACGTATTGGATCAAGTGTCTACATATTGACATGTTAAAGCAGGAAAAGCACAGGTCAAGCAACTTTGTTTGGTCCAAGTAAGAGATGCCAGTTAGTGAGCGTGCATAGAACCAAGACCCTGGACCTTAAAGTAATGCATTTGTTTTCAAAAGTAATTTATTACATCTGTGCCTTTGCTGCCTTGACATGCTTACATGTCTGCTGTGAGAAAGGTACAGTATATTAGGCAGGTTGAGTTAAGCCAGTTAATGACATGAGAAGTAGCACATGTTTCTATTGTGTGACATTCCTACTATTGTGTGTTGAAGTTAAAAATTTTCAATTGATAATATATTCCACTTTTTCAATACTCTGAAATACTCACAACATTTCATTTTGGCATGTATGTGGCTCTTTATTTCAAGAAATTAAGAGGCAGCAGGAAAAAAGCACTTGACTTTCAGTTAAATGTATCCACACTGTGAGGTGCTGGCTGCAGTACCTGGTATTTCTACGAGACAACAGGGATGCAAACTTGTCACCTTTCGGCAAAATTTGCCGTTTTGAATCCAAAATAGGTCGATTGTGTGATTCATGTAGATCTGCAATAAAAATATTTGTGGGGTATGGGGGGGGTCTGGGACCCGGAGTAATCTGCGGCCGCGAGCCGTTATGTGCCATCACGCATGGTGTTCTTTTTTTATATATTATAATGAAGCTCGAGTCTTCCTGCCTGTCGGCTCTGCTCATCGATGTATAATAAGGCTCTGCTGCTCCGGTATGAGGGTCTAGCTTCAGCAGCTACATTACCTACGGGTGCGTTTCGTTAATATTAACTGTGTGGTCCGGAGTCACTGTGGCACAGACTGGACCGCTGGTGAACAGCTGTTAGAACGGGCCGTTCAGGTGTTCAGAGCAGAGCTCCCTGTCGGAGCAGCAGAGCGTGATGTGCACTGAAAACTTTTTCTGTCGCAATATTATCGTTGAGCTAGCTAGCTAGCATACATTGTCACAATCTGCTAACGTTAGCTTTAGCCTTCGTTTTCTAATAGTTTTTTTCATAGGCTATAAACGGAGGTCGTATAAGTATAGATCTGGTGCTTGAGTAAAAGTAGAAGTACTCAGGTCTTGTACTTGAGTAGAAGTACCAGAATGTAGGAACAATTCTGCAATCAAAATGTTCCTCAAATAAAAGTACAAAAGTATTATCATCAAAATATAGTTAAAGACAGTAAAAGTAGTCATTGTGCAGATTGGTCCATTTCAGAATAATATATATGATATGTTTTATAATGATTGATCATGAAAGTGTTCTCAAAGCTGGTAAAGGTGCAGCTAGTTTGAATGACTTTGTATACTGCAGGGTAGCTTGTGGATTTACTCCAGGTGGAACTAAAGTCTGATTCAACACTTGATTAGATTTCACATCATTCATCCACATCTGTGAAGTAACTAAAGGTATTAAATACATGTAGTGGAGTCAAAGTACACCATTTACCTCTGAACTGTAGAGGAGAAGAAGAACAAAGTAGCAAAACATTGAAATACTTAAATAAAGTACAAGTATCTCAAAATTGTACCCAAGTAGTACTTGAGTTTATGAACTTAGTTACTTTACACCACTGGCGATACAGATAGAAAGACTACGCCTTGCACAGAGGCATGAAAATACATTTTCAAAATGCTCAACAGTGCTGCCAAAATTATAAACTGACTGCTACACAATTAAAATAAATGCTTTTATATATTTCTATTAGATGTGACTCTTTGGCGTTTCTGTTATTATTAACTGCTGCTTTAGTTGTTCTGACTGCTAAAATCCTGTTATTCCTCATTTTAAAGCCGATATTCCGTGGGGTCGGGGGGCTCGGATCCTTGTCACCTTTTCCATACCTGATGAGTTTGCCTCCCTGCGAATACTGATTTGAATTCCTCTTTTGAGAAAACTCTTTTGTGTTGAACTGATGCTCAGCCTTCGCCATCATCGTGTAAGATGAACAGAATGTCCTTTTTATTATAAAGCAGGAGAAGAAAGTTTGGCGCCTTTTGTGTGAAATCCTGATTCCTAAACACTCATCACACAGAAAGATTGAGTCAGACTTCCATTGTCTCGCTAAAGGCTAATAAATAGGCACATTTTAAAGGCAGAGAAGATGGGCATGTGGCATTGAGATTATTTCGTAGACCCAACATGACCCTGACGCAGGCAAGCTAATTCGATAGAAAGTACATTTCAAAAGAAGGGCTCTTTATACATGTGAGTTGGAAAAAGGATACAGATAATGGATATGAACAGGTAAACGAGAACAGTGAGATGGATGCATTTTGAGAGTGGTTCACACCTAGTATGTACCAAAGAAAAAAGTTTCACGGTTCTTATCAATCTCACTGGCTTTTGTCTATAACTCCTCCAGCCCAGTGCCCAGCCAATGAGGAGCGGACATTGTCATCAGGAGTGATACTTAGCCCTGGGTTTCCTAGCAACTACCCCAACAGCCAGACGTGCTCCTGGCTGCTTCACATGGTTCCAGGTACAGTGTGTATGGAGGGGGTGTAACCAGTGTGTATTTCCATCCTGCTGTTTTATATATATCTGCACTTTGATTATAAATATGTATAACAGTTTTTTTTGTGTGTGTGTGTGTTGCATATTGCGGTTTTCTGGTTGTGCTTGTTAATAATGTTGTCTTGTTTTTCCAGGTTACACCATCAACATATATGTAGAGATGTTCCACAGCGAGAAACAATTTGATGAACTGGAGATTTTTGATGGTACACAGAGACGTCCTTTTCTATTTTGCAACTCACTAGACACACACAGAACATCACATACCCATACATGCATGCACACACATATCCACACTATCCACTTTTGAACAGGTGGAGGGTCGTGGTCCATAAAACTGGGATGAAAGTATACAATGTATTTCAATCAGGATCATGTAAAACAAGTCATCTGGAAGAAGTTAGCGACTTAATGATGCTGTCACCTTCATGTGATGCATGTCTCAGAAACAATAAAACACAACATGTTGTTCATCTTCATCTGAGCTTAGGCTCATACTATTCTAGGGGAACATTATATGTAAACCTACGAATCCCACCAACAAAAACAGACCACTAAGCAAAACGACATATTGTACGTGCATGTGTATTCATGAGAAATACTAATATATACAATATACTGTACACACAGCCGTCCTGAAGTGTCATTCATTTGTTTCTCTAGGATCCTCAGGGCAAAGTCCTCTTCTCGTCGCTCTAAGTGGAAACCACTCATCTCAGCTCAACTTCACATCGAAAACAAACCAGCTCTATCTACGCTGGTCCACTGACCATGCCACAAACAAGAGAGGGTTCAAGATACGATACTCAGGTACATACAATATCTTCCATTTTCTACATTCTTTATGTCCCTTATATATAGCTGGCCTTGTTATTGTTAATAAAACACCAGTTATGCATATTATGCGTCTGTTTACATGTGTAACTCTCTCTCTGTTCTAAATATTATTTTAGTTTGAATAACAATTACATGTAGATAGGACCGGCAGTTGCTCAGTCAGTAGGGGCTTGGACTGGGAGCCGTAGGGTCGCCGGTTCAAGGCCCCGAACAGACTTAAAGTATGGAGTGTGGACTGTTACTTGGAGAGGTCCCAGTTCACCTCCTGCCCTGCCGTGGTGCCCTTGAGCAAGGCACCGGACAACCCCCCCATCCCCCCTCACTCCCATTGCTCCCCGGGCGCTGTACAATAGCTCCTACTACTAGACTCCTGGTACTAGGAAACACATTTCGCTGTGTGTGCTGTGTGCTCTGCATGTGTGACCATTGAAAAGGGTTGCATCCCTCCCAATATTGTAGATGTGCATTACTTGCATGTCAGGGAAGACATCTTGAATGTGAGATTAGATCAAGATTAGTGTGTTGCCATCTGAAGAATACTGTCTGCTGGCTGCCCTGCTTCTGTCTATGCTTTCACACACTGTACCCATCCTTCTGTGTGGTAAAAGGTTTGACTAATGTTGGCTGAAGTGATTGGTCTCTAATAGAATTTATAACCAACCCCAGCTCCTTATGATGAAAATTAATTGGTGCATCAAGGCTGTAGGTACCTGCATTGATCATTGAGAAGACGTTCCTAACTGGAAACATTCTTTTTTAATGCATCAGACTAATTAAGAGCGAAAGAGAATTAGGAAATCCACTTTGTTAATTTGCCAATTTGTTTCAGCTTGAGTTTATTATATCTATCTGCAGGTTCTTGCCAACATTGTGGCATTCTGATCCTTAGCTTTGTTCGGTTTAGGTTGGCAGGTTTTCAGACGCTCCTTATTCATTGCTTTTAACATTTGAGGAATGTATTGAAGATGACCATCAATTTCGATATTTCTAAATACTATTTACAGTGACACTGATCCTCTTTGGACTTGAGATGAGTGAGTCACAAGGTCTGTCTCATGGCTGTCTGTACTGAAGAGCAGAGTGATATATTTTAGTCTGTGGGTTATATCAGCACAATGGCTTGAAGTAATAGTGTTTTCTTTTCCCCATGGTGTTGTATTGCCTTGACAACAGCAGCTATACAGAGGACATAAATATATGGTTGAGACTTTCACTTACAATACACTTTTGATGCTCTCGTATATTGAAGCACACATATTGCACAGTATATATGGTATACCTAGCTTTAGCTTATAACATGGGTTATTCTTCAAATGGTTATTTGAGGTGTAAGATCTGGTTTAAGGGTCAATGTAACAATTGAGTTTAGTGTCAGTGAAGTTATTATGTTATCTTTACGAGGGTCCTCAAACATGTTGTGAGTTTGTGTGACTCTGGATCTGTGTGGGCTGTAACATTCACTGCTGCATTTTCGTTATCGTTTTTCCTTGTTGTTCATGCTTGCTTTAGCTGTGAAATGACCTTGCAGACATTATGCTTAATGGTATCAGGTTTACCCACTGACCTTTCTGAAAGCAGCAATAGCTCATCGCTTGTATGCATCTTTCCTGGTGATTCACTATGAATTTCCACTCCTCTCTTTGTATCTCTCTTTGTGATATTTTTTCTATTTGCTGCCTGAATGTGTGTGGGGGCACTTGCTAATGCTATAAACAATAATGGCCCTTAATACATTTTAAGTAGGTATCAGCAATTGTACAGAAGTGCTATCAATAATATTTATCTCAGCATATTTTACCTCTATATGTGAGAACAAAGCTATTATATTTCTTACATAAACGTTAAGAGGTCAGCATTACTCAGCTAAAGCTATTTCAAATGGTACCAAAGCCATACAATATGTTTGTCAGTATCTTAGGGAGACATTGATAGCTATATTACAAATGGATAAAAATGCAGTCAATTTAATTATAAAGATAAGCATTGTGTGTTGACACGTTGTTATTATTATAGTATATATATATATATATATATATTATATCAAGGCTAGGGTTACATGTTAGTATATATATGAAATTAGATATGCATTGATGTCGGTTGTACATTAAGCAAGCAGGGTTTTCAAATTCAGCTGCTTAACTATCGTAAAATCCTTTGTCCCATTGTATCTGTGAAAGTAATACCATATCTACTTCTTATCCAAAATGTATCAATGAACATCACCATTTATTTTTTGCATGTATTAGGAAGTTGCCACAGAACAAATTAAGCATAATGATGATGAAAACTGAGAATGGTATGGTGTGTATCATTCAATGCAGAGGCAACGAATCATACACACCATGCCATTCTTTGCCTCTGCATCGTCCATTATCATGCAGCTGACGGACAGTCTCTAATAACTCTATTGTTGCGTTTTCCAGTATAGCCCTTTTGGAACATTATCAATGTTTTGTTCAAAGGAATTTCTCTTATCTTTCTTGCAATTTCCCATACTGCATCTGTATTTAAGTTTTCTATATTTTTTGTTTTGGAAGTCAAACTCAATGTTTCCAGAATATTCCTGTTGGAGAGAAGTGGACTGATAAGATATCAAATTAATGATGCAGATTACACACACATTTTAGAGCAGATAGAGTGAGCAAAAAGAAGGCCAATATGACTCTTTTGAGGAAAGGGAGGCATAAGATACTTCTTGGAAACAAAAGTTTACAGTAGAATGAAAATGAAAGCTACTCTTTTGTCCTGACGTGGGAAAGTAAATCCTCCAATGTGAAGCTGAAAGGGAAAAGAGCAAGTACAAGGCGGAGCAACGACCACATCGGACAGGGAGGAGCAAAGTGGCCCATTGAGGCCTGTTGTGGAGGATGGTTATATTGTACTGATTCTATATTCAGTTCCTGGAAGACAAAAACAATGCATTACTTGAAAAGGTTTCAGAAAAAGTTATTTATTTGCGTCCATTATATTATGATATAATGCCAGAAGGAATAAAGCTCATATTTGATATGCCTGGCAATAGCAGCATTAGTGCCGTATTGTTTCCAGGCACACCTTTTCTTATTTTAAATACACCCGCACGGAGCTAACCTTCTGTTTTCTCTCCTGCTCATTATTATCTCCATAGAAAATGAGTTAGATAAGACTGGTTAGTTTCCTGTGAAGTGTGGACACAGAACAAATGTTGTTTTTCCAACTTTTCTTCCTCTGTATCTCCAGCTGCCTACTGTAGCATCAATGATCCTCCAGTGAACGGTGGCGTGGTCAACCGAACCAAACTCCGTCCAGGGAGCAGACTTCAGTTTTATTGTAACCGTGGTTACCGCATGATAGGCTCAAGCAATGCCACCTGCAGGCTTCACCCCAATGGGCTTTACCAGTGGGACGTACCAACACCGTTTTGTCAAGGTAATATTTTAAACGATTGCTTCAAAAGAGATGACAGCAGCTTGTGAACGATACCATTTCAACACGTATCTCTTTACGGCAGCTGTCTCATGCGGAATTCCTCAGTCACCCGGCAACGGAAGCTTCCAAGCCAACCAGTACACCGTTGGTAGCCAGGTCACCTACCAGTGTAACCATGGTTTCCACCTTGACCCAGGTGCTCAAATGACTGCAGAGTGTTTGGAGGATGGCAGCTGGAGTAATACTGCCTCAGCCCCCAGATGCCTACGTAAGTTTTATGGGCAGTCAAGACTATGAGATGATAAGAAGAAAACATATTCTTAACTCAAGGTCATTTAGGACACTTATGGTTATCATTTCTGAGCTTTTCACCACATTTTGTAGTCTTCCTCTGTGAAAGAGGTGAGAGTGAAGTTTGCTCACTTTTCATGGTGTAACACTTTCTCCATGATATGACAGCTGATGAGATGCAGTTCAAAGCTCTGTTAAAAGCTTGTTAGTGGATTTTGAGGAAATAAACTGCTGTTCCCAAGGTCAATAGTATAATTCCACATTTCATTCAGAAAATGCAAAAGGCAGGACAAGGATCGTCAGATTTTCTTTTTTAATTATTTTGTTGAGAGATGCTAAGAGTATTTCACATACTGTAACACCCTGTTTCTTAAATACATGACCCCACTAGCTTAAAGTTTTGGAAAACATTCAATCAAATGGGAGTCGATACAGTAGCTTGTAGTTGAGGACATAAATGAAGCCTGAAAACCGAATTGAATGTTTTATGTAATAGTAATTTGACTACATTTTATTTTCCAGCGGTCCACTGCCCCAGCACAGAGGGCACCTTGTCAGATCACATGACCTCCCGCCTGCTCTCTGGTAGGTCGGCAGAGTTTGGGTCTATGGTGATGCTGGAGTGCTCCACAGGGTACTATTTGGGAGTGGGTCATCGGACTCTTCGCTGCCTTGCCAATGGGACCTGGGAGGGGTCAGACGACCTAGCTACATGCAAGAGTAAGTATTTAAAAAAAACACAAACAACATCGTGACTATCCTGTGCAAATGAAATCTCAAATGCTGCTGTCATGCTGCTGTAACCCTGCTGTAACCCCGTCCCCTCTGAACAAGATAATAAAACTTCACTATGATATTAGTTTTGTGCGCCTGTTCACCTCCCATGGCAACTCGATGACAAATAACTCAGACTTCGAGCCTAGAACTGTATTATAAGAGATACCCTTTAAACTGGGTTGATACACACATATAACCACATATATGAAGTGCTTCAACGTCATTGGTACTATATAGTGCACAGATCATTTTTTACTATTTATGTTTCGTAAGTTATTAAAGTAAACACCCTTTCATAGATGGAGAAGAAAAGGCACATGAACAGAGTGATGAAAAAGAGGAACCTCATCTCTCTCACACACACACACACACAAACCATATATACTGTAGACCAGTGCTTCTCAAAATATGGTCCGCGGACCACTGGTGGTCCGTGAGTATATTGGTAACATTTCACATTTGAAATAAATAAATAAATGTAAGTTTTCCGCACTCTCGCGGGAATATCTCCGCAATGGAGCGAGCTTAAGTTTCGATTGCATGATATAGCCCAGCGCAACACCTTCATCCTTCACCTTCACACATGTTGCCACTTGTTTGTACCATTTTCAGGCGATTTGTAATGTGTTCTAGAAAAACGATGTGATTTTGTATATTTGTGGAGTTAGGTGGTCCGCGAGTGTTTTTTTATTGGTTAAGTGGTCCTTGGTATGAAAAAGTTTGAGAAACACTGCTGTAGACACATATAGACACACCTGCATGAGCGGGCATCACATTCGCTATCAAAACAATAAAACCACAATGCAGTTGCTTCCAGAGTCTGTTTTGAACGAGTCATCAATACAGCTTGCCCACCTTTGTAAAAGCAAAATGTAAAGGAAAAGAGACAAAGGGATTTATGATTCTTTGTGCCCAGAGATGTTCACAAGTCTTTTTTTGCAAGTCCAAGTCAAGTCTCAAGTCTTTGTGGGGTGAGACTTGATCAAGTCTCAAGTCTTTGGTCACGAGTCCAAGTCAAGTCTCAAGTCTCTAAAAAATAAAAGTCTCATGTCTCTTCTGGTTGTAATAAGCCTTCTATTGTCTGCTGCTATCCAGTCTGTTAAGAATACTGCACAGCTATATCTAAGACATTCAAAGCATTGACTGTATTATTATCACTCCTATATCTATTAGCATACAGTATCAGTACTGATTAGTTGTTTGTTATATGATCACTTTAAACAGGCTATTGCAATGCAATATGAGGAAAAACATCACACTTTAGCTAAATGCAAACAACTTATAAGCAAAACACTTCAGAATCAGAAATCAGTATCACAAATACTTTATTAATCCCCCGCAGGGAAACTGTGTTAAAAGTACTTAAAAGTAAACATTTGTTCTGTGCCATTTGCAACTAAAAAAACTATTGCTGCAATATTATCTGAAATATACTGAACTGGTGATATTAAAACATGACCTGTTCCAAAAGAGATATCTACCATTAACACCATTTACCAGCCAAATGCTGGTAAATCATGCAAGTGGCTGGTACTGTATGTTGCACGCACCAGCCACAAATAACAATGGCAATCTATTGAGTGGCTGGTAACATTTCAACATTCACTAGGCTAGCCCAGAGCCGTATAATAGATTATCTATTATAAATCTAAATCTATTATACGGCTCTGGGCTAGCCATTTGGCCAGTGGACAAAAATGTTAAAATGTGACCTCTGCAACCGTATTGTTTAATTACACTGGGTCTCTAATGACATCTTTGAAGTCTACTATAAATAAACATATTCCTCTATCCTCTCACTCAAACCCAGTGTAATGGTAACCTGATACACCTGTAACATTAACGTTACGTGGTCAACAATAAACCTGTAACCTGCCTATAAACCGACAGATGTATTTATGTATGTAACTATGTATTTTTCTACGTTTAACGTTAGCCAGTAGATGGTGGCAGCGGAACGTAATGATTAACGTTACCGACCTTGTTTATGTCATGTCAAGAGTTGGATGTCAACGCCACTCAACGCAAACAAGTGTGACAAGCAAACATTCACTCATCTTTTCAAATATTCAGTTACAAAGCTAGTAGCAAACTAAGTTAACATTACATAGCTGATGCTGAGCTAAACATGTTTGCTAACCGTCCATATGCGTTAATGTGACTGACCTCTCCGGGTGAGTTTTCAAGTGCCTGATGACATTTGACGTTGTTGCACCAGCATCCTTGATTTTAATATTGCAGACTTTGCAGTGTGCGCTCCTTTTGTTGGTGCCGCCGGCGTTTTGTTCGAAGTTTTTATAGTTGAACCTAATTACAAGCGGTACAGCTGCAGGTGTCCCGCCGGTCGCCATGGTGTTACCATGATGTTAATGTTAAAGGTGGGGTAGGTAAGTTTGAGAAACCGGCTCGAGATACACTTTTTGTTATATTCCATGGAATGCTCTTAACATCCCGATAGCCGGCCCGGCTAAAGTAACTGGATGGCCTACCTGCCTGTCAGCCTCCATCGGGGCACAAACTTATCTCGTGCCCTCATTGGTCATGTGCTCGTTCGTGTGTGTTGGAGGAGGGGCTCTGTGAGGAAGTGGCAGATTTTCTCCGGTTGTGTATTTTCAAATTCTAGCGATCTCGAGCCGGTTTCTCAAACGTACCTACCCCACCTTTAATACGCCAAAAATAGAAAACACAATGATTGTTCACGAGTCCCAAAACACGAGTCCAAGTCGAGTCCGAAGTCTTTTGAGCAGGAGTCCAAGTCAAGTCTGAAGTCTCTGTGTGTGCGACTTAAGTGCGACTCGAGTCCGAGTCACAAACTCGAGTCCCCATCTCTGTTTGTGCCTGAAAAACCCGTGTTTGAGCAAAAGCATGGAAATGTATTAAAATGGCCGCCGCTGGTCTCGGATTGATGGCAGGACAGAGTTACTCTCTGTCTGTGTCTTACCAGGGGGCATCTTTACTGCACATTGTCTTGGGACTGTGATAACTATTTTAATCAGAATGCTATTTCTCGGCAATAGTGGAAAATTGGCTTTTCAAATTGAGTGTTACTATGAAATGTGCCTTTGCTGCTTCTTTCATAAAGGGAAGGGGTGTTAGCGCATTGTGACTTTGAAAACTTTCCAATAGGCACCAGAATTTCTTAGCATTGCATAATATATTACGTGCCAATGAAAGGGTGAAATGGGTACACTTGAAAAGTTTAAAACATGATTACAAATTGAAACCCATCTTACATTAGACCAATGTTTTTGTTAAATGTATTTTTGCTACATTTTAAATATATTTCTTAATTGTTCTAGTTGGCCTACCTACCACTGCTGCAGCTCTGAGGGATTTGGCAATGTAACAGAAGTGTCTTTACTTTAAGTTGGCCAGTGGTTTGGAAACAGTGTCACTCACATTAAGGAAGAAAAGGTCTTAAATCTTCTGACCTAAATCTAATTCAGCCTGGTATTGTTCCCAAAACTCAATTGACACTGTTCTAATCCAGGATGGTTTATAGTGTCATCTTACTTACAGATTTTTGAAATTAAAGATAATAAAACCGTACCCGTTGCTGCTTAATGTGATGTTATATATCATATCCATTGTCTTTTTGTAACTATGTGATCCTATCATATTTATTCCATTGTTTAGTCATCTCTTGTGGAGAGCTTCCCACTCCACCCTTTGGGACCAAACTGGGGACGCTGACTACATTTGGAGCAACTGCAATCTTTATGTGTAACCATGGTTACACGCTGGTGGGGTCACATGTCAGGGAGTGCGGTGCTAACGGGCTGTGGAGCGGAGCAGAGACCAGGTGTCTAGGTAAGGTCCATTAAATGTGATAGCATGTAAATCGTGTTGTGTCTGTCCAAAACCCCTTTAGCTGAGAAAATTACAATCACTTCGAAAAAGAAAGTAAATCTTTTTATATTGTTAACATTTCTGTACAGAATCAGGTTAGGGTATGGTATCAACAGTCACACTGGCTGTATTATCAATATTACAGTATTCAATATAGCATGCAAGAGCAAAACATGATATTCCAATTTAAAGGCCCATTTGTGCGAAAAAGAAAAAGGCATTTCATGTATATTTTTCTGCCATAACCTGTGTCAAGGACATTTGTAAAACCTTAGGCTCTAATGGAAATGCATGAACATACCAATGTTACAGGTAAGCTTTATTAATTTATGGGATTGCTACAGGTGTCTAGGTAAGGGCTATGGAAATGAGACCAGCAGAAAGGAAGACACATGCCTCAGTAACTCAAATGATCTAGTACTGAGGCATTTTATTACTTAATACATTAAGGGCTTGATATAGACCTTCAGAATGCACTGACCAGAGATGATTAATCCTGATTTAACATACACACTCTGGTTCAGGATTCAGCCTCGAGGTTACGCCTGAATAATAAGTCTCATGCGGGATGCACAGTTTATGTGTTGAACGTATAAATCAAACCACCGTCACATTAAAATCTGAGATTCTGATGCTAGCAGGGCAGCAAAATATACCTTGAGTTGATGAAAGAAGTTGATGAAAGAAGAGTTCAAAGTTAATCACCTCTACAAATATGGGTTTAAGTGGCCAGATGCAAATGTTTTTACCACAGGCTGTGTATTGCTGCTTTCTGCAGGTCTCATGCTGACATAATACAATCACAAATGTTATTTAATTAAAAGCTGTTGTAATTGATTGAAGAAAAATGTTGGGAAAAAACACCTGCTGCTCACAATTTGGAAAAGCCATGACTTGCAGTGAGTAACATGCAGCCTTTTTTACACATTCATCTTTGTATTCAGGAGGCACACATATTAATGACAAAACAAATCACTATTTGCTTCAGAAGAACCCTTAAAATAATGACACGTCTACTGTATATAGTATTGGTTTGATCAAATCAGACATCTTGGATAATGATTTTCCTTATACGTGTTGTCTTTGAAAAATTAGTAGAAACATTTGCATTACATCAACAGTAGTCTCCAAAGAGCTTCGCAAAATATTGAATCGTATAGATGTTTTCACAGCATTAATTAAAGTCTGAGAAATGTCGTATGTGCAAAGCAATTGGGAAATAAAAAAGACTATTAAAAGCTAAATACATGAAAAAGTACTGGGACACAGTCCTGACTTCATGCAGCACAAAAACATGAAGCGAAATACGAGTGATTGATCTCCTAATACTGTAGATGAAATGGTACTGAGCAGAATTCAATGATTCCCACACCTAGGCCAATGTTCCAAAGTTTTTCAGAAATCATAAAAGGATGTGGCACTTCAAGGCCTCTTAGGAGAACGCAGTTAAATTGTGTTAATTTGCCAATTTGAAAATGCCTTTAGGGCAGTCACAGAGCAGTGCTGCCTTCTCACATTGATTTCATAAATGCACTGAGGATGTCAATCACCCGTCATAGAGGGGATTGATGTCTACTTTAAGTAAAGACAGCTCATATACATTGTTTGACGGACTAACTGTTGCAATAAGTAGTTGAAATGGGCGTCTTAAGGTCGTAACTATGGGAACATTGATCCAGCACTGATGATTTAAAGTCACGGATAAGGAAAGTGACCTAAAGTTGTTTCTCATTATACTGCATTAATCCCTATAATTTCTTCTCCTGCAGCTGGTCACTGTGACTCTCCAGATCCTATAGTCAATGGACACATTAGTGGAGAAGGCTCTAGTTTCCGTGACACTGTGGTGTACCAGTGCATGTTGGGATATCGTCTTATCGGCACATCGGTCAGGATCTGTCAGCAAGACCATCGGTGGTCTGGAACAACTCCCGTCTGCGTCCGTAAGTTCTTTGTGATTCAAAAACCATTGTAGTTCATCTGTATTGTATGATGAGTCATTGCTCTTTCAGTTAATGTGAAGAGCTAAAATGCTTTTTTTATATAAAGTAAATCCATTACACACACTAGTCTCAAAATAAACCACATCTTCTTTGAAAGCCTTTCAGGGGTTTAAATGGTTCCTTGAATGAAAGCCTCTGCAGCATCTTTGTGTTCCAAAAAATATGGAATATAACACAATGCTGCAAATAATACTTTTTCCACACCTCAAATTTCTCATCATACTTCTCTGCTCCCTCAGCCATCACTTGTGGTCACCCCGGCAACCCAGGCAACGGGCGAACCAATGGCAGCGAGTTCAACCTCAATGATGTTGTAAACTTCACCTGCTACAGAGGTTACGTCCTGAGTGGAAATGCACGTGCTCAGTGCAGACTCAACGGCCAGTGGAGCAGCCCCCTACCTGTCTGCAAAGGTCACAAACACAGTTATTACCAAAGTTACACACTGACGTACATCCGAGCAAATGCTCGAGTGGAATAAGCTCTTTAAATTATAGTGCACACTGCACAGACAACATGTAGTGTTTTATGTTCAGTTTAACTTATGGTATATGTTTAGTACTGAAATAAATGATTTAGCTTTTTTATCTTGATTTAGATAACATACTTTACTGACAATTCCAACACCTTGGATCCTCTCAGTTGAAAAGTAAAATATTATCATAAAATCAGAAACCCATGCATTTAAATGGTCAGCATGGATTCAGTATTTGTTTTTGCCCTGATTTGCTTCTAGCTCCAGTATGTCAACTGGAACATTTTTGGCCAAATCTTCTGCCAGCTGACTGTAAAATTGAGAACTGAATAATTGTAGCATATAAACACACTTAACATTGTGCTGTATTCAGCCACAATCTGTGTGGTGTGTCTCTGAATTGACTAACACATTCATACATGTGCACAAAAACAGCTGGGTTCATGTCCAGAGACACGTTCTACTCTGTTAACCATGCATGGTCGTTACACTACAAGCCTCTGAAAACCTCCGGTAGTGTAACGGTTATGATAGACTAAAACACACACACACACAGAGCCATGAGAGCAGATCGATTCAACATCGTCGTTCACATGGGTTTTCTATGAGGAGATTCATGTTCGCCTGCTTGCTTTCTCCCTCTCCCTCAATTGTTCTGTCCTATCCCTCTCTCCTGCTCTCTCTCCCTCCCAGCAGCAGCTGTCAATTATAAGAGTGAAACTTTCTTTGTTCCCTTGGGGTGCCAGACACACACACACACCCTTATCCATGTCCCCCCATGGACTTGAATTTGAGTGAATGTCAGTCTCCCCTGTGACATGTGAAAAATAAAACCTCACTCTTATTGGACTGGCCTCCACTCAGAGAGAGTAGAAGGGACCAGAGGAGAGAGTAGAACAAAGAGCTCCAGGAAAGAGAGTGGGACACAACAAAATAGCAGTTTTTAGAAAAGACCAGAGTAACATAGATAATCTAAATTTGTAACCCTGTGATCCGGGGTTTAGTACCCGAAAAGTACCCAATTGTGTCCTGTTTTCTAATGGCTGCTTTTCAAAGATTAAGCTCCAAACTATTCACAGTCATTTGATTTAGTTGAACCCCAAAACCCTCCAAATCCAATGTAAGGTGCAATATATTTACTGTAGATCCATTTAAGGACATGTGTGTGTGACATTTATGCACTTCAGTGTCTTCAAAAATGATTCACAATGGCCCAAAAATATAGCAGCCATGCACTACTTTCCGCTAACAACCCCATTATGGACATTGTTGCACTTTCGGGATGAACAGTCATTAACTGTCAAGAATGACGTAAAGTAATGATGATTACGGTGTGTCCATATTGTTAATCTAATGGTCACTTTAAACTAAATTGTAGACTGCCTATTATACAGAGAGTAGTCATTTCAGCCACAGACAATGTTATCTACGCCCTAATGTTATAAACATATTTATTTCATTAAAAATATATATCTTAGGTGTTAGACCTTCTCTTCTCCTCTCTTTACATTACTGTTGTATTAGATTTTTCTTAGTACAATCTCTAACCATCAATATGAAGAAAGTCTACTTAAATAAATAGTTTGATTAGGTTTTAACAGTGTTGCTCTTCTGCAGTGGTCAACTGTTCCGACCCCGGCCACGTGGAGAATGGTGTGCGCCAGTCGAGCCTACGTTACCCAGAAGTCTTCAGCTACGGTGTATCCGTGGCGATCCACTGTAAACGAGGCTTCTACCTCCTGGGCTCCGCCATCCTCACATGCCAGCACGAAGGACGGTGGGACCGACCAATCCCTCGCTGCCTAGGTATGGATGGAATAATGATCTTTTCTTGAATTGATATAAACTATGTCAATGCAAGTTTAGGAGACAAATGGGGCATTCATAGTCCTTTTAATGAAATGGTTTCTACTATTGAAAAACAGGTTACAACTTTTTGGAACCCTGCAAAAGACAATGTCTGCAAAAGTTTGGCATGCTGAACACAGGTAGACATAGGCAGGTGTTTTTCTATTAATTTTGTCTTTATATTTGTCAGAGAAAGCCATTTGTGAAAGTGAAATGGCTTGGAGAGCTACTGGGAGGAGGATGAGGAGCGAATGAAAAATTGAGAGAATAAGACAGGGTTCAAGGGAGAAAATGGGAGGGAAGTAATCATAAAAAGAGGGCAAGAGTATGAAAGAAAGAAGCTTAAAGGTTTGAGCATCTGTGTGAGTGTGTGTGTGTGTTGTTCTGTGTGAAGAGAAGGAAAAAAGGTAAGCATGTGTCTCTTCGGGCAATAGGCATTCTTGTGAGGGAGCTACAATGGCCGATGGAAACATAGAGATTAAACTAGAGAGTGATGGAGAGAGGATGCTGATTCAGAGATGGAGAGAGAAGCACAGGGAGGAGAACAGCAGTGAGGACACAGTAACAGAGAGATAGGGACGAGGAAGCAGACAGAGGGAGAGAGCAGCAGACACTGGAGGGGTGTCTGTGCATCGAGCATTACATTTGAGAAACAACGTCTTATCGGAAATTTGGGGGATGAGGGCTGATGACTAAGAGACAAGGAGAGGATAGAGTAATACAATTTGGGGGTAAGGGGAGATATCGCAGGACCAGTCGGTTGGCAGAAATAGAAAATCAAGAACAGTTTCATATCTGTTTCCCCAAGTAAGATGTGCTCTGTAAATGTCGATTTTCCCCAAATTGAAGGAAAACGAAATAGCAGATTACCGCACTGATGTTCGTTGCTTTGACACTGGAATGATTTTGTTGGCTAAAGTGAATTTAGTTTGAGATAAGTTATTATGGGCTCAGAATGCAAAATGCGTATATGAAGCGCTACGTCATGAACGCAAGAAATCTACCCTCGTGGGGGCGCGCTCATGTGATTGGCTTAGAATTGAGGAGACATCTGATTGGCTATAGAAAATGACAAGTACGAATCGGCTGACTGTCAGGGGAGTCTCAAAAAACCCACACACGAATGCACAGCTATCCGTGCACAGAAAGCGGTTTGTGTTTGCAGGTGCAGCGGTTTTAAACGGAAAACTAATATGTGAGGATCAAAAATACATATGTAAAACTTTTTTCTGTATTTGGATTTTATTTACATGTATATGAAACGGAACACATGTGTGTGTGTGCATTGAAAAACACAAGTATGGATCCGGAAATACAAGTGTGAATCCTTCTGTGTGCATGTGTGTATTATGAGACTGTTCTGAGCCCATAAGTTATTGGTTCTCTCTTAGGCAGTTCAATTAAACTCAATAAAGATAAGCTTAAGTGTCATGACTATATTCTTCTGTACGGTTAAGGAAAGGAGTATGGGTACTGCTTAATGATGTGTATATTTACAAGTTTATGCGCCATAACCATTAGGTGCATCATTTTTATGCCTCTTCAAATGTTTCAATATAACCGTCCTCGGTTTGATTCCAACCCGGGGACCTTTTTTGCATGTCAAATGTTCCCACTGTAGACAAAGGGGTAGACAAACAACCGAGTGTAAACCATTTTTTTACATATGAAATAGTTTTTACTCTGAAAAGATACCCAAAAAAAGTAATTGTAAGAGAAAAGGGTTTCTTTCCACACTTAATGAATATGTATGCAGTAAAAAACAAGCGAGATTGTATTGTTGTTGAAGTTTTTGTAGCTTTTTGCTGAGTGTGTACTTTGACACCAACACACACACACACACACACACACACACGTACACAAAAACAACGCAGACCCAGTGTTATTTCCACCCCATCCTTGCTGTCACCCTCTCCCTCTGGCTGTCTCCTGCTAAGACACAGCTGCACCACCTAATGCAGTAGTATCTGGAATCTATACTTGGACCCAGTCTCGCACACACACTCCAACACTCTCTTTCAATCTCTCTGTCTCTGTAGCTATTTCCTGTGGCGACCCGGGTGTACCCCCTAATGCGGTAATATCTGGGACTCACAGTTGGACGTACGGTTCAGTGCTGCAGTACTCCTGTCTGCCTGCAGGGGTGCTGGTGGGCAACGCTTCTCGTCACTGTCAGGAGGACACCACGTGGAGCGGAGCGCCGCCATACTGCACTGGTAAAGGCACACTGGTCCACTGGTCGGGAGGCACAGTTTTCAGCTGGTGGAAAAGCAAAGCGTAGAAAAGTATTTTACTTTGTCATGCATGATCCTACAGGCTGTCATCAAATGGGAAACATGTTTGATTGTGATTTTAAATCTAAAGTGATAATCCAGCAAATACACCCTTCAAAATCAACGGCATCGATATTGGAGAGTTTAGTTTGTGAAAAAATGTAAATGCTCGAAGAAAATAAACAAATATATATCCATCAAGAAAACTAATTGCCAGATTAAGCTCAACAGATATACAAACTACAAAAGAACAACTAAAACTTGCTGCTTTAAAGAAAAATGGTTTTAGTTAAAAAAATAGTTTCAACTGTCAGAAAATAGATTCATCCCATCTGGGGCAACCAGCTCGAGGCATATCACACAGGCAAGTCTGTATAAAGATGTTTTCAGATTGTTGTTTCTCCAGCAACAATAGCAGGCACTAACAGGAACAAACAAGTCAAATATGATTGACAGAGATGTCCCTGTGTGACTCAGATTTCCATATACATTACATTTCAGCACACACTTCTTCAACTGGATTGGCCTTTGATGTTAGATCAGTGGGTGTGATGTACTGCATTTATATGATAACAGCGGTAGACTGTCAACGAGGCTACTACCTACTCTAGCCAAAGGTCATTCTTCATGTTGGCCTCACAATAAAATGGCTCTGTGGTCCAAATCTGGGGTGGTAGGCATAAATAATGCATAACAAATGCCTACTACCCCAGTCTTCTACAATGTTATTTGGCTTTGTTGAAGCTTGTCTTGTTTAGTAACTTGTGCTTTGTTATGTTCGGAGGGACTAAACCTGACTAAACTTAAATATCCAGCAGAATTACGACTGTCACTTTTGCCTGCAGCCACCAACATCCCTAAACTGCTCATTCTGCAAACAAATGTGTTCATATTTGAGAGTCCCTAACAAAATCCACACAAGTAAACAATGCGGCGGCAATTTATTTAACGCAATAATTTGATCTGTTATGGTGACATTAGGTAACATAATGATGGGAAAACAGGAATGACTCCAACTCTATGGCACACTCTTTCCACCCCAATACATATTTCCCTAGATCTGCCTCTGTTGGCCGAACGAGCATGTGTTACAGGACAAGACTTTCCCTAATTCTAGATATTAATAACATAACATACCAGAAGAAACATTATCATTTAAAATCCATTCAACCATTCACTGACAAACTGTAGCAAGTTGTTTTTATCTTTGATTATAATTGCTTACAGCTCACTGAAAACTAGGCTCTCTATGAACATGCTGCCCTTCTTTGTACATTGCTCCACAAAATCGTCTCTGTCCCACTTACATAAGACATACTGTAGGGAGAAATCATTTCAACTATTTTCCACAGCGTTAACTCCAGTAATTTCCCTGCTGGTGTTTGTGACAGATATCCCCATTCTGCTTATGCTAGTAATCTTCAGAAAGTGGTATATGTCGTTATTATCACTTCATTTAAAAATACAGAGAACAAACATGTATAACTAGTGTAAACTGAGCAATCTACTCTTCTGCAAGTGAGCAGGCTTGAGCTGCATGTGTAACAACAGGCAGGGGAATGAGGCGATGAGTCCTGGTTTACTTCCCAGGCTGTAAGTGCTGCTCTGCAGTCGGCTTACACAGATCCCACAACACGAAAATACTACAACTGATCATTTCCAAACTCAGCATCAACTGTCTCAATGGCTGAAATGCAATAAGCTTACTCTGCTCACCTCAAAAATGAATGCTCAGCAGGGCAGAATCCATTCTGCAGCTGAGGACCTCATTGAGATGCAAGACGCTGCATTTGGAGCTGTACCCTGTTAAACTCTCAAATCCCTACCGGTGGAATTTAAGCTGCTAAAATTGTGACACGCTCAGTGCTTTTAATGCTAGAACAATTTAGTATAGCCTAAATGCAAAGTGCAGCTCTTCAAAGTTTTCCATGTGTGGGTATGTGCATTTAATGTATATGTGTATGTGTCACTTCACGAGTATGTAAGACTGTGTAACTTTATGTACTTAATGTCTCTCGCTGCTATAGGTGCAAGTCCAGGAATCTGTGGCGACCCGGGGATGCCTCCCCACGGCGCCCGTCTAGGAGGCGAGGAATTTAAAACCAAGAGCCTGCTGCGTTTCAGCTGCGAGGCGGGATATAATCTGATTGGCTCAGTCGAGAGGACCTGCCTACACAACGGGACTTGGAGCGGCACACAGCCTGTCTGCCAAGGTGGGGAAGCGTGTCAATGTGAATTATGTGGCTACATTCAAAATTGACTCTGCAAAAATATAAAATGAAAGTCTCTATACACCCTTACTGCAACTCACTATCCTAGCATCAAACAAATCACCTTTATTTTAATTATTTTAAATACATCAATGCACTTGATTCTGTAGTATTTAATGTTAAAGCATTGAGTTTCAGTCTGATATTCCATTTATATACATCCTTCATTAGTCATGTTTAATATTTAAAAAACTGTTGCCTGTTTCATCCAAGGGACTTGATTTGGCAACATTTGATATGCCTGTTTAGAAAACGTCATATACTTAGATACCAACTAATCCCTGTCTTATTTGACGTTACCTTTGGGTCCCAACCCAGATTCTATAAAACATTGCTATATACAAATAAACATTGCTGTAAAATTAAGCAGAGCATATTTTGTGTACTTGTGGCATATGGACTTAATTATTCAGCATTTTATGGGGAAATAAATCCGCAGAGCTAGGTTAAACAGCTTCATATTTTCTTAGAGAATCAGGGTACTTGGCATGCTGGTGACAGTAAGTAAATAATCCATTACCAAACATAGCTTAAAGTATGTTACATACACTGCCCGCCGTACATTGTACCCGATGTATCGTGAGCAAAGATTACACATTGCTTATACATGCATGCATTCAGATGAATGACATTCATAAAGATAGTAGAATAAATATATACAGTTGTATCTGTCCTCTGTCCCTATTTTTTATATATGTTACACACACTTTTCAAATTAAATGGTGATCTAATAGGTTGACCAAATTTGCAATTATCTTTCGAAAGGAAAGGTCCACATATGTAGGAGGTTTATAGCACTAGCAGTTTGTAGAAAACGAGTGTTCGCATGTTTAAATCTGTGTGGCCCATATACGACGGATTGAAGGGTGCCACTCCTCCCTTACTGAACTGGATCTTCCACAGCGCTGTGATAATAAAGTGCGTCCTATACAACAGCAGTTTTCAAAGACACTCTTTAAACCCATGGGAGTTTAGGGGGAAATCAAAGTGGGTCCCCATAGTGCTGTAGGGCCACTAGAATACTAAGCTGCTGCCTGTGTTACCTTCCCCATCCCCAACTATGTTAGGATGGATGAGGAAAGCACCGCTGTAATTTAGCTTCATCGCACTCTGATGCAGATTTTAGATTCAGTTAGATAAAGATAAACAGGCAGTCATTTAAGTGGGTAGGGGGAGGAAGAGTGAGTCATATGTGTCAGTGTGCTCTTCTGCATTACTGTAGGTGACCTAAACACCAGCAGTTTACTAAATATAGTAAGTACTGTGTGTACTGTGAAGCATAAAGACCGCACTGACTTAGATGAGAGAAATCAGCAGTCACTGAATTAACATTGACAAATATGTTTGGCATCTTTAGTTTAAACCTTTTTAGGGGAACCAACAATTCATGGTTTTATAGTCATCAATCTTATGATTTTCTTTCTCGATTAAGCATTTAGTCCATAAAATGTCTGAAAATGCTATTCTTGAATGTCTTGTAATGTCAGTATAAAACCCAAATATATGCTTTTTGATTTAATATCAATGTAATAAGAGCAAGAAATATTCATTTTTGAGGGTAAAAACAGACTCTTCGAAGTTGATCAAAAACAGTTATTATTTTTCTGTGGATTAAATTATTGTTGTAGTTTTAAAATTGCAAAAATGTAGCCCTCTGGCCTTACCTTAGAGGTGTGTATCTCTCTTTGTGTGTGCGCCAGGGTCTGTGTTTGTGTACCTAATTATTTATGTCTGCCTACAGCTGTTTTTCATTGAGCTAATAGTGGCTGATTCAGAAAGGATGAAACATCTATCACTGAGACACAAACACAAAGAAATCCATACACACACACACACGTATACAAACCTTTACTCACAGTATGGATACTGATTACACTGCCGTAGATGTACATTATGTGCACCACTTGGACAGAGCTTTTAAGGGCTCTAACTAATGAATCCCGTCAATAGGTGTTTGATTGTTAAGCCGCTGTCAGTTGTCATGATCTCATTAGTGAAATGTGCTTTGGTTTACTTGCTTATCCCTGTCTCTGCTGTTAATGTGCTGTGCCAGCAAACTAAAGATCGATGAATCACTATTTTGGACAAGAGACTCCATAGCCATGTGCAGTCTTCTGTCCTTCAAGACAGTTTTGTCTTTCAATCAGGAGTGGTTCAAAAACAAAGAAAACTAAGGGTGGATTAAGACCCCAGCATTTGGCACAGATACAAACCAAGGAACAACTCGGCACAAAAAAATATCATTGTACATAAATGTATAAATAGCTACTTTATTTAGTAGGAGTCACCCCCCACAAATACAGTTATTTTACAAAGACCTAAAGTTGCTCTTTTTGATTTGAACGGCATAACTGAAATATCCACATTATTTCATTTTTCACCAAATGTCCTTGCAACAGACTGTTCACTGTAAATAATATCAAAAACTATGAGGGAACCATCATTGTCTCTGCAAATAGTCATGGTCCATCTGCTGATGTAGATGGACCATGACTATTGGCTGCTGTTAGGCCAGCAATCAATATAGGTATTTGTTTTTTCTACAGTAAGTGTCAATTTCAATAAAGAATCCTCATTCAACAATGTAATCAATAGAAACATGGTACAGATTATTACTTTACCTCTGACCGACATGAAAGACCATTTCTGGACCATCCCATACTATTTTTAAAAATGCCAGGAACTCCCTGGGGGGTGTGTAGATGTATTACCAGCCTCTAGCACACAACTGGAATACTGTGCAGCTGCCATTCAGAGCTGGGAATCAATCCAACACCCTTTAGTTGTTAATCAGCCTCACTGCCTCAAAGACATATTTTATGTTATTTCCAGCTGACTCCAGTGCTACGCTCATTATTGCAGCCTACAGCTGATCCTTGAGTGACAGCATTGCTCACACTGATATCATCACGCTGTTTAATATTTCCTCAATTCTCAGCTGTATCCTGTGGTAACCCTGGCACTCCAGCACACGGCAGAATAGTCGTAAATGATGGCGTCACCTTCGGCAGCTCGGTAGCTTATGCATGCTGGGACGGCTTCAAAACATCAGGTCTGATCAACAGACACTGCACAACCAATGGGACATGGACAGGACAACCCCCAGACTGCGCAGGTAGGATAGATATAATATCATTGCTTCTACTGTTACTATGTGTGTTGTTATTATCAGTGGTTACAGCAGCCGGTGCAGTCAATATTACAAAAGATGTTTATTACTATGATACAGTCAATTAGCATCAGTATTGGTTATCGATAACATGTAACAACAGTTTTTTTATTTATTAAAGTACTGTATTTAAGTACCATTTTGCGCTCAAACTCCTGCTAGTTTATACTTTAACTTGTCTCAATTATAGAGGGAAATATTGTAATCTCTATTGCACTGCATTTATCTTACGTGTAGTTTCTTTTCACATCACAAACACGTATTAACTTATATGATAATATGCAGTTATATACAACCAACTGCCTAAATTGCCCCTACAGTATATTGCCGAATTTGTTGTGACAAAACTGAATGATATGACATTCTACCATAACATAACACTTTTTAAGAATCTGAGTATGTAAAATTGTAAGATTTTTGATATCTTTTTTTATACTTAAGTAACATTTTGAGTATAGGACCATTACTTAAGTGAGTACTTCTTCCACCTCTGGTGTTGGTGCATCAATAGTGGTGTTTTAGTAAAGGATCCAAGGGTAGTATACATTTTGCATGGACTGTGCAACCCGCTGCTGTGCAGGTACAGACCTATACATTTGTAATATTATTGTGTCTGGGATTTCAGCTTCTAAAGTTAGACAGAGCCAGACAGAAGCTTGGGGAAAAGAAGGTGGGAGGTGGATGAAAACATGCTGGTACGTTTTTTTTTTTTAAAGGCAGGATGTAAGACAGATGAGTAGGAGATCGAAGTTAAGGGGCAGGCGGGTAAAAACAATGTTGTTCTGGGCTGTTGTGAAATCAAGGTTAGTTGTACAAAAATGTTACAGCCCTTGTGCACGACTGCAGGATTACATCTCATAACCTGATTTATGTTTTGTCCTGTCACTTTTCTCTCCCTTCCTTTAGTGATCAGTTGTGGAGATCCTGGCCCAGTAGCCAATGGCATCTATATAGGAAGTGATTTTAGTTTCAACCACACAGTGACGTATCGCTGTAACCCCGGTCACCTGATGGAGCCGCCTGCTCGCAGCGTTCTGCGCTGCAGCAAGGAGGGAACCTGGAACCAGACCAAACCCAACTGCAGAGGTGAGAACATCTTCCACTCTAAATAACTCCTTCCCAAGAAATGATGGACAATGCCAGATTTGAGTTTAGGATGGATCCACAGGTCCAGTAGCATGTCTGGAAACACTGTCTGGCAAATGTATTTGATTTATATTAGCCATCATTTGTTTTTGTTTGTTTTTAACATAAACGCATTATGTATGTATTCAGTAGTGTTCACCATTATTTAATTAAATTATGTTATATGTTGTTATTTTATAATGCATTTTTTTAATAAGTAAAACTAAAAGGTGGGTACACAATGTATAATCATGATAAATAATGCACTTTTTAAACACAAATGCTATATATACTGTACAGACTTCAAACAACTGCCTTACATTTGGTTTTTTAAAGTTATGTACTGAGACATTTTGCAATTACATTTCTTTTTTAAAACAAAGCATTTTATGTATTTTTAAAGAGTAATTACATTTATTTCAATAACAACAAAACTATATTGTACTTAAGAACGTAAGTATAGCGTGAGCAAGAATTTCATACCAACAACAAATTATAATTTGGATAGTCATTGTTCGTATATTGTCATATTAATGCGTCATTGATTCACTTTTTAAAAATCTCATTGTAACGGCAAAGTTCTAATAGTTAAAAACAATAAAGTAAATCAATGGCAGTTGTTGTTACAGAGCAGTGCAACTGTAGCAAATAAAGCTCCACAAAAACAAGGGACAATTTGAATGGGAGCTGGCATACTAGAGTAGAATGAGAGACTGTGACTTTCAACAGCACATTAGAAAGAGGCCAAGAGAAGATTTACATTGCTGCCTAAAATAAAACTGTGGTGAGTTAGGGTTTATTCCCTGAAACCCTTCAAATCAAATGAATCCAAGTTTTCCAACAGCCCATATTAGCAGTTCAGACGATGAGGCTCAATAACAGGAACAGGGCTGGTTTCCTGAGATCCTCCCTGCCGTTTCTTCCCACAAACAGAACATCTCCTGCTGGCTCTTGCAGTTGCAGAAGCTTTGAACTGAGATGAAAACATGTAGAAAGCCGGCAGAGTGGCTACAGAGGAGGAACCAGAGAGTGATGCAGAGAGGGGTAAACAGCAGAAGTGAAAGACACTGTAGGTGATAGAAAATGAGACTTAGGCTGCAGGTCTAAAGGGAAGAAACAGTGTGGAGATACAACTGATGCAAGTCCTCTCTCTTTCTGTATCTGTTGTCCTCCTCTTCACGTTCTTCTTATGCTCACATGTTTCTGTTCAGCTCCCCTGTTTTCCTCCCCTATGTTTTCTCCTACTTCAAACAATCCATAAGTCTTAATTTGATCCTATTTTGGAACAGCAGCTTCCTCCTACACAGACACACCAGCACACACTGGAACATATTGAATGAAGAAGTTGCAAGCTATAAAGGTGTAGCTCGACAGGCAGAATAAATCAAGTGAGCCAGGAGGAGAGATGGGAAGTAATGAGGATGAGAACAAGAGGGGGAAAAAAGGAAGTATCAAGAGAGGAGAGAATTGATGGAATGAAGAGGTGTAGTGGAACAAACATCAACAAATAGAGGAGATACAAAAAACCCACAAAGATAGAGTAATGCAGAGATTAAGAAACACAGAAAATGTGAAGTGGCTTAAGAGATGTTTAAGAGAGGAAATGAGAGAAGGTGATGAGCCATCAGTGCAGCTACAAGGAGAGATAGACAGAGAAGTGAGTGAGAGAGGAAGCAAGTGGTGGGAGAAACAAAGAGAAGCTAATCAATATCTGCCCCAAAGCTGTAAACACACAGTGAGAAAAGGGATTAAGTCCATCAAATGTGTTGCCTGGCTGAGTGGAGCCAAGAAAGATATATACCTGGGAGACGAAGGGAGGGAGTAGACCAAGAGAGCAATGGAAGAGGATATAAAAAGGATTGGAGCTGAGACGGAGACGAGTAAGAAAGGAGAGGAGAGGGGCTTGAGGAAGACATTGAGAACAAGTGGGAAGTCAGAGGAAGTAAGGGGATCAAAGTGTAAGAAAGAACAGAATGTGGAGACGTGAGTGGGAAAGAAGAAGTGGTGAGGAAAAGGGAAGGAGTGAGTGATCACAGTGACGTAGGTGTGTAAGACAGCCGGGGTAAAAGCCATGTGAAGCAAGCCCAGTCCATTCACAACAAAGAGCCCTGTGATTGCAGTTCTTAGGGCGTCAGAGACCTGCAGACATATTGTTTGACTGTTCTGTTCGATCCCTAACTACAGGTTTGTTTTTAGAAAACACATGTAATTATTCATTGGGATCCCCATTAGCTAATGGCTAGCCACCAGCCATTTTTCCTGGAGTCACACGACGGAAAGTGATGAACTGCATGCAGGATTTGTCAGTGTTTTGTGTGCAGGTGTCAAGATGTTTGACTAACACTAACACTTAGTAGATTGGAGAAAAACATGTTTGAGTCTGGGAGGATGACTGAGGGGAGATATGAGCTTCTGCGGGACACTGGTGACGTGCACAAAACAGAATAAGTCAACTGATTAGTTTGCTGGGAGCTTCCAGCAGTTGCGTAGAAACTGCAATGTTACAAACAAAATATATTTTTTGTAGTTCAAAACAATTTTGTTAATTGCACTGCTGAATCCAAAAGACTGGTCATTATGCAACGAAGAAGCAGAAAAGGGACTGAAAAACACTAAATAGGGAGGGAGGGAGAAAAACCAAATAAGATATAGTCAAACATTGAGGGAACAGAAGATGTCCATATTGGGGTGAATATGTTAATATTTCTGCTTAAGCTTTAAAGGTCATATCACTGCATTTGATCCATACTCTATTAATGTCAGTCTGTGCTGATGGCTGCCTCTACTGTATATACAGCGTGTATGGATCTGTTTGCAGTTGTGTCGGTCTGCCTCTCAGTTTGCATGCTTGTTTGCACTGTACTGTGTATCATCGGAGCAGAGTGAGGGAAGCATGAAACCATCTGTCTCCTGGTTGGATGAGAATTACACTGACTTTATTAGGTGTTTGAAACCAAGCAGATGGTTATCATTATCTTAGGGAGTTAGGCGCACGCACACTCAAACAAGCACACACACACTCGGATGTTTATCAGGGTGTTATGAAGTTATATGCACCCATCTCTTTGCTAAAACAACACATTTGCATGTACAACACGCACACAGGTGCATGCAATCGCACATGCATTGGCCGATTTAAGGTGGTCAGGGGCCCCTAAGCAACTATCTGTGTGTGGCCCCACCTCTAATACTCGTTATGCTTTACCTTAAAAAATATAATTTAGAGCCATGTGTAAAATCATGCTAGGAATAATAATTGGCTTGCACACACTCTTGGGGGCATTAACATACACAGACTTGAATAGATCTTGGTCAAGGTGTTTTTTTATTGACCTTATTGGGACAGCTGATTGGATAGATGCAGCCCATGCACATGCAGGGCCCCAGGCTGCAGCCCGAAACAGATTGAGCGTTAATCCACCACTGCGTACGTGCACACAGCTGGTGTAACATCATTATGCATAAACGGTATGTCTTCATATGATCACAGATTCCATTCTCTGTTCAACAGATGCTTTGGTAATTCATATTAATCTATTTGATTCGCTGGACCAGTTGATATAAACATTGGTTATGTACAACGTTATGACATTTTCAAAGTAGCTTTAAGTTTGTATAAATCATTAACATTACATAAATAGCAAGCCCACGTAGTGAGTCTCAATTATAAATATGTATTTCTCGCTTAAATCCCTAGTGTATGACAGCTTTTCAAAAGATTAAGGTTGATGGAAAAGTTGCCTTATAATATTGCCAGCATTTAATTGAGCAGACTTGAGGAAAACAATTGATAAGTTAACTCCCAATCACAAGTGTGGAAGAAGGAATGCACCATAGACAATGCAAGTCCCTAAAAGTCTCAGTCCATATCGTGACCATGGCGTCTCTTTAGGTTAACCAACCTAAATGTGGTGACGAGGTCATCTATTGCATTTGACCTGGTGCAATCTAGGGTTCTTAAGAGAAACCCCTTATTAAACTTACTGTGACAGTTGTTTTTGGTATTTTGTCTTTTGCCTGTGATCCATCGTTTCTTCAAAGGGGAAATTGTTTCAACTGTCTGTTCATATCCTTCACATCTTAGGACTGAATATCCACCAGGGACATTTATAAACTGCTGTTTTGTGACAGTCTGAGTGCTTATTTGGTGATGAGTTATTTGTCTCAACTGAAGGTACAATTGTGAATATTAGCAAATAATTATCCCATTGAAGGAGTATTTGTCATTACCTGCAAAGTGTTTGTTGAACTGTCTGTTTTGTACTTCTATCTACAGTCTAGCACTGTAGATACTGTACAGTGTTGGAGCATATCCACACACACACACACACACACACACACACACACACACACACACACACACACACACACACACAATAAGGAGTAAATACATTCCCATGCAGCTAATGAGCAAGTAGCAACCTTCAGGTCTGAAAAGTGAAACCTATGTGCAAGTGTCTTCCACCTGCGTTCTCTAATATCCAACACAACTATTCCAAAGAATCTTTTTCACCTTTCCAACGCTAGTGAAAAAGATAAAGCATTTAGGGCATTAGTTTTGTTAGGTTTGGGTGATCTCTGTGTTTGTCATAGAGCTTAACCCCTCTCACTGTTTATTTTCAGTTCATCCAAGCAAACAGTAAACGTTTTGGTCGATAAAATGGTCCTCTTCAGTGTTCTGTTGTACTTGGTTCCATCCTGTCGTGTCACTTTTGCTTCCAGGAAGATAAGATGTCATTGAAAAAAATTACTTACTCAAGGTTTTAAAGCCCTGGTCCACAAACCGATGGGTCACTACGTCCACCTATTTTGACAGTAAATGCTTTTCAGCCAGAAGTGTAACACCATGTTGTCCTTTGAGCTGTGTATCTAGACGTATATGATATCCTTACATACCTGTTTGTGTGTTTCAGTAATCCAGTGTGGGCCTCCTGCTCAAGTGCACCACGGGAAAGTGGAAGGAACTGACTACTCATGGGCCTCGAGTGTTAGTTACAGTTGTTTCCATGGTTACCAGTTGTCCACTCCTGCTGTGTTAACATGTGAGGGGAACGGGACGTGGACAGGAGACGTACCGCAGTGCTTGCGTGAGTTAGCTTTATTGTGTTACGCAGTACCCTAACTGATACACATCATTGTTCCTCTTTCAGTATGTTAGCACTAGAACTAAAAACAGGTCCTAACTGTATCTGTCGTTTTATTTAAGCTGTCCTGTGTGGAGATCCTGGCTCTCCTGGAGGTGGATTCAGAGAGGGGAACATGTTCTCTTACAGGTCAGTGCGTAGACATAGCAATGATGTGCATTTTGTATAGTTAAATACCTGTGCATGATTGAATTAACTGTACAAGGAAATGGCTTTTTTATAGACCAATACCGTATGCCACCTGATATGTTGTCACTCAAACTTTGTTGTGGTTTTGTGGTAAACTAAAACTGATGCATAAATATACTGTTAACAGCTGAAGTCTCAATGTGTCACAATCTCTTAAAATATAGAGGCTTTACTCTACTTTCTGAAACCATCTCAGGAAATGGTGTTTGTTCCACAGTGGTTGTCAAATGTTGACTCAATAAGTTGTTTCCAAAAATAGATTTCTTTCAGCGCCCATGTCTGGATGTCAGTCGGAAACATTGCAAGGACAAAGTGGATTTTAGATTGTGAGCAGAAACAGGAAAAAGATAAAGGCCAAAGGTCTAGTTGTAGACAACAAGGCAGTTAGGTAAGGAGCAGAAAAGTCGAAGATATGACACCCTAAACTGTTCTTTGGACGTCAAAGGATAAAGTAGAAACTTTAAAACCCAGTTTTACTATTGCTGCTCACTACGTTTTGTTATGTTATGGGGTTTTTGTAATTAAAATGTTGTTTTGATATGCAGGGCGGAGGTCCGGTTCTACTGCCACACGCCCTACCTGCTGGTGGGCTCCGCGTCCAGAGCCTGTCAGGCTGAAGGGATTTGGAGCGGCCAACAACCAGCCTGTATAGGTATTTAAAACCACTGCAAGGACACACTGCAAGTCTATGTTTATGTGTTTAAAGTATACTTCCATGATGATGGTTATCTTTAGACTGTACTGTAGCTACATATCAAATCACCACATGATACACTAACATGTTAAAGGAAGTGTCATGTTGTGATGTTATATTACAAAGCATTTCTAAGCTTTGAAATGAGTCTGCCTTGACGGATATATAGAACAAATCTTGCTGAGAACTAACTTGTTTTTTCACAGCAAAAAGCTCTTTTATGCTAATTTTCTAAAGGAAATATTGAATATTGTATTAATCAACACTCCTAAAACCATTCACACAGAAAAACATGCATAAATTGACATAGCGTTTATGTAAATATTTGAAATATTACATATAACACATTTTCCATAATTAGAAAGAAGACTAATTTTGTTTCGTGCTAAAGAGAAACATTTCATCAAGATATACCATATTATAATACCATTTTGTGAAATATGATTATTGGTAAACAAGACTGTGGAGCTTACTCTTTTACATTCAAGCATTAGTATTCCTGTGCAGATAGAGCTGAAGATATCATCTAATCAATGCATCAAGTGTGTAGTTTTGATGTCAGCATTTGATTCCTTTAAGATTATATCTTCAAAAGCGCTTCATTTTTTTAGATGAAATGTGGGTTGTGGTTGTTGTTCTGTTCAGAAAGCATGAAGATTATTTTTAAATAAAAGTTGTGGAATTACAGAAAAAATCTGAATAATGATGTAAGAGTGAACATGGAAAGCTGCCTTGTAGCGGTCACAGATCTCAGTCGTGTTCCTCTGATGTAAATAACTCTTTTATCTGTCTTACAGATACTATCTGTCAAAATATATCCATGGCGGTACCCATATTCCCTAAACAGTATTGCACTTTGTTTTGCTTTTGTCATTGTCATATGATGTATGATTAGTGTAGGTACACAAAGCTGTAGGTGAGGGGAAAAGTGTATTTTTATTAAATAATTATTTTCAGATAAAGTTGTGGTAATTTATAACTTTCTTCGCCTACATTTTAGTGTGAAATATTATCCTTTTGTGTTAATGACTGTACATTTATCTGACACAATTTACTCAAAAGGTGAAGGTTTAAATAAATGTTTAACAAAACTAGTGAATGCAAAGTTAAAAAAAAGAAATTGTGATACTGTTGAGGATATGAAAACTTTTGTCATGACTAAGTGTTAGTACTGTAGCTGCACTATGCTAATCTTACTGCAATACATTCAAATGATAATACTCTAAATACTGTGTGTGTGTGTGTGTGTGTGTGTGTGTGTGTGTGTGTGTGTGTGTGTGTGTGTGTGTGTGTGTGTGTGTGTGTGGTGTGTGTGTGTGTGTGTGTGTGTGTGTGTGTGTGTGTGTGTGTAGTGTGTGTGTGGTGTGTGTGTGTGTGTGTGTGTGGTGTGTGTGTGTGTGTGTGTGTGTGTGTGTGTGTGTGTGTGTGTGTGTGTGTGTGTGTGTGTGTGTGTAGACCCAGCCTTCAACAGCTGTCGTGACCCAGGGACTCCGGCCTATGGGGTCCCAGTCATGGGCCAGGGCTTTCAGGTGAGACTCCAGTTGACCTTACACTTGGTAAAGCTACTGTATATCCTCCTAATGACTTTAAATGTATGAGTTAATACTTTTTTAAAAGACACAAGTTTAGATACTGCATTTTATGCATTTTGAATACAAAAAGATCGATTATTGATTGTCCGGCAGTGCTCAGTCAGTAGGAGCTTGGACTGGGAGCCGTAGGGTTGTCGGTTCAAGTCCACGAACAGACCTAAATATGGAGTATGGACTGGTACTTGGAGAGGTCCCAGTTCACCTCCTGGGCCCTGCCGTGGTGCCCTTGAGCAAGGCACTGGACGCCCCCCCACTCCCATTGCTCCCCGGGCGCTGCTCCTAGTACTAGGATGGGTTCCAAGCAGATAACACATTTCACTGTGTATGTGTGTATGTGTGACCATTAAAGAGGGTTTCATCCTCCAATGCTATTCAAATTGCAACTTGGTTGATAAATAGGTGTCTGTGCTCAAATCGTAAGTTGAATAGGAGCTGTTATAAGAAAGTAAAGACGAATAGAGCAGCGGGAGTCTACCACTTTTATGTGATACAACTCTTACTACTTTTAAATCCAGGCTTAAGACTTTACTATTTGCCGCTGCTTTTAATTGAACTATTCATATCTTACACTGCATTGTAACTTGTATTTGTTATATATTAGCTTGTTTTTGTTTATTTTATTCTCTTTGCTTTTTAATGACTGTTTGTAAATGCCATTTCATAATGTGTTTCGCTGCACTATTTCTAATGCTCTAAATGTCTTTCATTTTTGTAACCCACTTGGAATTGCCTTGTGTTGAAAGGTGCTATATAAATAAACTTGCTTGCCTTTCAAAGATGCACCAAGAAGCCCAAAGAAGTTTCAATAATGCAAGCAGAAAGAATGAATGAATGAATGAATGTGTAAACAATCTGAGAAATGGGGGGCTTTGGATTTAAAAGATCATCAGATAGAAAAACAAGAAATCATCAAACACATGACATGCCCATCAGAAATAAAGGTAAGGGAAAGTGGCCCCCCATTAGAGGGGAGTTAGACTTCATGGATGTCAAACAGCCGCATTGTTTTTTGTCTTAGAGACCGAGTGTCTGGAGAGATAAGAACCTGTTGGATGGAAGATTTTGGTGTTAATGGAATTTAAGCAAACACGCAAATCCTTCAATTTGTGGAGGTATAATTGGATCCACAAGTCATATTTCCTCTGCCATCTCTTCAAAGAGAACAGACAGTTACTAACCACATTGAGCAGGATAACAATAACATGCTCTCTAAAAGAGATGAATTGATATAAGAAATGATTTGGTTTTGTTTCTTGTTTTGTCAGAATCAAACAATAAGCAATTAATTGAATGTTAAAAGCTTTTATGTTCAAACTAATGACAAGTACCCCATGCTGAGTGTGGCAGGTCTTAAGAAGCTGCAAATAAAGAAGATTTATTCATTGTGCTTTTACATTATGCAGGTTGGCAGTAAGATTTCCTTCAAGTGCCGCAAGAACTATCACATCCTTGGTTCTACCACGAGAACATGCCTAGAAAACCTAACCTGGAGTGGAACTCAACCTGAGTGCATCGGTAAGAAATAACACTTTCATCATAATTAAGCGTTATTTAATATTATCAAAGTGTGTGTTCTTTTATATGTTCAAATGTTGTATTTTGGTTCTATGAAGAAGTGTTAACACTGTGTTTATGTTCCTCTTCCCTGTCACTCAGCCCATTCATGCAGACAGCCGGAGACCCCCAGTAATGTTGATGTTCGATCCATGGAGCTGCCCACCCTGGGATACACGCTGATCTACACCTGTCAGGATGGTTTCTATCTGGCCGGGGGATCAGAGCACAGAACCTGCAAAAGTGATGGGAGATGGTCGGGTAAACCTCCGCTCTGTAAAGGTATACAGATCCTATCTATAAAATTAGCTAATGTTGAGCCTAGAATCTTAACTGGATGTCCTAATCCCATATGGTTTAAAAATAAATACAGATTATCGTCCTGATATTATTGGTATGCTCTCATAAATCTCCCTCAGGCGTATCATGAATGCTCGGGTGATGTTTTTGTTTTGGTTATTTATTTGTAATCACGTACTCGTGGCCCCTATCTAGTCTCAAAGACAAGGAGCCCATGGCTATGCATACCGTGATGAATGATAAAGTAAACAGTCTGCCAGTTGGCTCTTTTGTAGAACCAAATAACTGATAAATGTCACTAGATTACATGTTATCTCAATGAATACACATTCATCATATTACCTTATTCATGTCATCTATTCCCAACCCTTTCTATAACAAATATACTTTCAATAAGCTTAAACATGAAGTGATTTGATCTGAACAAAGTGCTTTTTGTTGTTTCAGTTGGAGTGAAAGTCAATCCCAAAGTCAGAGGAGACTCAGATGTTCAGAAAAACAAGATTCGAGGTATGCAGAATAAACTATTTCAACACATTGTTGTACCTAAACCACAGATGTATTGTCAATTCTGTAATGTTATTATATTGGCTTGGAATACTATTCATCACGCCTTTTTTTAATCAAAAAATCACAAAGTATATCCAGAGAGGGATAGCTTTTGTTGCAGTAGGTTGTACCGAGTGTCGACTACATGGGCCTTATTGCAGATGTATGATGGCTCAGACTGAGTAAATAAATCAGTGAAAACATTCAGGTGCAATACCATGTAATACCTTGTAAGTTTGAAGAAAGCTTTTTTTAAATCAATATATGCATTTTGAGGGAGCCTGTGAAGAGATACCAACAAAGATTTTTGCAAGAATACTGAAGCTGTTGAGTTTTGAATAAGTCATAAATCTAAGTGTGTGATTCAGATAGAGAGTAACAGAAACACTGCTGCAGTTTAATGTGAAGGAAGCAGAGCAAGCTTTACTTTTCCTCTTTCTTTGTTTCTCTCTCTCCATTGCAGTTCCAGTGGATGTGTTTTCTCCAAACTCTGAGTGGAGCGGTTTCTACGAGTATCTAGGGAAAAGACAGGCCACCACATTCACAGTTACTGGGTTCAACACTACCAGCAGCAGAGTCAACGTCACATTACTGGAAACCAGCGGGGTGTCAATCAGACTGTCAGGTAAAAAACAAGCAAAACAGATACTCTCGTTTTTATTTTGAGAAACTTAAAAATATAACTAATAATGTTGTTTAATGTTTCATAGCTTTCATATATTTTTAGATTGGAACTGGATAACCCTGAATTAGATACGTACCTATACATGTAGAGAAGAGATGAAAAATACTTTATTTCATACAACACTTGACAGATAATGTGAAAAATAAATGCACTTGTCATTGTGCAAATGAGTATTGTAACACCACCTTTGATTCCAGCTGAAAAAAAAGCATTCACTTTCCAGATTTTGAAGATTTGCAAACTTGAAATGCATTGTAAATCACGCTTTGGGTGTTAATACACATCTGGCTGATAAAGATCAGGCTTTCATTTACACTTATTAGCAAAGCCTCACTGAAATCTAAAAATATTGTTGGCGCCACATTTTGATAAAAATCCAGTAGAAAATACAACGTACAGAGGCACAGATGGGAACCATGAACCTCAATGCAACTGCAGAATCACCACAATAATGTACAGTATATACAGTTTACATACATGTTCACAGCATTACTCCCATGGACATGTTTTGTGATCAAATGTGCTTCAGATATTGGAGTATGAGAAATAGTGGAAGGTTAAAAATGTAAAGCTGCGCTCTTGAATGAAACCTAAAAAACGGTCTGACGCACCAACTGACACTAATGTGTGTTTTGACATTTCACAACATTTCACAATCAATAGTTCAGCTTGATCTCCGGGTCATGAAAGATGTTCTGCAGGTAGAAGGCAAGCGCTCTCAACATATAAAATGATTTCATTTTAAATCTGTGATATTTCTCTTTCATGGGCTTGTGATATTGAAAGCAACAGTTTCTGTGTTGGTGCTATAGTTAATCTTGTATGGATATGTAGCTGAAGGGTGAATGTCACTTTCTCCCCATTAATGTGGCAGGTGCTTCGTGAAGGGAAAAGAGTATTATAAATCAAAATGTCAAGGTATCTTTTTTCGACTAAAAACTCATCTCTTTCGACTCCACTTCGAGCAATACAATTACTAACAAAGCACTTATATGCTAATAAAGGACTGGCTTATCTAAAGCCAGTTGAGTAGCACTTGAAATGTTTTAGCTCTATGAAACCTGATGTACTTATATGATTCTGTTTTCTTCAAGTTTGTATCTTCTTGGTCGAACGCACTTATTGTAAGTCGCTTTGGATAAAAGCGTCAGCTAAATGCAATGTAATGTAATCTCCTTTTCGCTGTTTGTCAGTCAACCTGTCCTTCCGTTTGCTTACCACCCTGTCTGTCTGCCTAACTGTCTGTCTGTTTGTTTACTTATTAGAAGTCAGTTTTTTCAATATATATGTATCTTTTCATGCAGGTACCTACAAGTCAGAGGAAAACCAGCTGCTGCTGAAGGTGTACCAGGTGAAGGGGCCCACAGAGCATTACTACAGCAAGTTTAAAAACGACAACTGGGCCATGGACGGATATGTAAGATACACTTACTCTCCTTTTATATAAAGCAATTTAAAGTGAATGTTGCCCTTGCACATGTCTTTATTCACAATCAAAATCAATGCTACAATATCAACATCACTGCCCTATTTGGGAACAAGTGTGGCACAGTCCACACTACTGCGCTGGGCAGGGTCTTGCTAAAGAGATGTATTTAAATTCCAGTCAAATGTTAATACACGTTATACAAATCAGATTTTGAAATACTATTTTTTCTTAAAATACAGGATTAATGTGGATTACCAAGAAGTGTTGCAAGGTTGCATGTATACGTGAGGTTGCAAGGCGTACCGTAGAGAATCCAGGATGTTACTTCAGCCAATAAATAGTTCCAGCACGTATCCTCACATAAAACCTACATTTGGTTTATTTACACCTCCCTGTGCATTCATAATGTATCTTTGATGTACACAAATGGGGCTTCTTTAAGCTGTGAATTTAGTCAATCAGCTCCTTTTATATGTGAACATATTGAATGCCAGAAGTGTTTAAAAGGAAAAACAAAAAAAAGAAAGTCACCTTTCATGTTCCATGGAGACTGTTAAACTTTGTTCGATGTGGTTTTTGAAGCTGGGACTTCTGAAGATTGTGTCTGCAGCTGGGGAATGGATTAGAAACCGGATCCTGTTTGACTTGATTACAGAGGAGGACAGAGGAAGGAACCGAGTGGGATGATTTTAAAAGATAGTCAAGCAGGAATGGATAACAGAAGGGTGTAAGAAGGAAGGAAGGAAGCAGAGACAGACAATTGTTCATGTTGCGGATGACAAAAAGAGTAAGGCAGGAGGAGAGTCAGGCTGGTTATGGCTTAGTTGTGATTCCTGGAAAGCAATTTATTTACAGTTAGAAGATGACATTTCAATTGTCGATTTGGGGGTAAAGCGTTGCTGCTTTGGCCTCCAAACAAGAGAAGAAAAGAAGGAGGGTGCGGAGGGCCAAAGTACATGAGGGGCAGAAATATTGCTGATCAGGGAAGAAGACAGGGTGAAAACTAAAATAACGTTGATATACCACAATGTAAAATTCAAGAAATGAAGAGGTAGCTACATATGTATCTACATGCTAAGAATATTATCACATGCCTCATACTTCACATGTAAAACAGCCTTTAACTGAACGTCGTTATCTAAGAACAAACAACAATCTGCTTTCACTTTTCAGGTTACTGCAGAATCCGACCAGAAGACTTTTGTCTACCAGGGTCATACTCACAGTAAAGACTTTGGCAAGTTCCATCTAACAAGGCAAGGTAGGTCTTTCCGTGACATCAGCATCAATAACAAACACAACTAGAGTGCCAGTCGCAGAGCGGAGAGGCCAACGCTGCAATCACACACTCCTTGGATGGTCCAATTCCCTGAGTTGCAAAGTCGTTTGATGTGTTAACTGCCTTTTAAGTCCTTTTGTTTGAAAAATATTGACTCTTAAAAGCTCAGAGCGTTTAAACAATCCGTTATTGAATTGTTGTTCCGACCTGAAAGGGTAAAGACGGATTTTTTCCTGCCCAATTATTCTGACCCCACATGAATGCAGCACAAATGCCAAACATGGCGCAATGTTAACGAAGTTGAAACATAATTGTTGTATCTGCCCCTTGATTCGGATCTTCTCCAAAATGTAATGAGGTCTTGCTTGGCCCGTGCTACAACCTTCCACCAAGTTTCATTACAATCTGAAGAAACTGCCCTGAAACAGGCAACTGTGCCAGACACATTAGCTTCTTGCCAGATGTGACAAACAACACAGCCTTGATATCTTCTTTTGACACCATGTCATACTGAAAATGGGAAAATATAAATATTAGTTCAAACTGAAGAAATATTAGCAAAAGAAAATGTGTTTGTGTAATGTAAAAATAAATTACATTTCAGACTGAGTAAACACTGAAACAGAACTCAAGTGTAAAGACTAAAAGGACAGGAAATCCTCTATTACTCGTGCACAAAAGGGTGTTAATGTGTTCATGCATGTGTGGGTTCATCTGTGTCTGTGTCCCCAGGCCCTGTAACCATGGCAATGGACCCATCCAACCCCTACACCAACAGCAGCTCCGTGGCAGCCGCCATCTTAGTTCCTTTCTTTGCCCTCATCCTGTCTGGATTCGCCTTCTATCTCTACAAGCACAGGTACGCTATATCCTCAGAGTAAAAACAGACAATAAAAACTTACAAATGATTAAAAGAAAAATCTAGCTTGATAATTTCCTCATGCAGATATAACTAAAACAAATTGGTGACCGCCACAATTAAATATCGTCCGCCACAAATAGGTCTCATATTTATTTTTTATTTATTTATTTTTTATTTTGTTGCTCTAATCATGTATAGTGAGGTGGGCTGATGATCGGAAGGTTGCGAGTTCAAATCCCACCTGGAACACCACCAATAGTGTGCCCTTGAGTAAGGCAGTTACTCCAGGGAGAATGTCCCTGTAATTGGTCATTGTAAGTCGCTTTGGAATAAGGCGTCTGCTAAATGCCTAAATTGTTAATTGCAAATTATATTTTTGGGAGAAAATAGAATAGAATCAAATTCTGTGGGAAACACTGCCAGAAGAAGACAAATACCACAATGTATTTAAGGTAGTTAGAGCTAGGGATGCTCCGATCGAGATCGGCCGATACTCACTCTACCGATCGATCGGTGCTCTCTAAACATGCCGATCGCATGACGTAAAATACATGACACTTTTCTCTGTGTGCGGCAAAACAAGCTCGCCAAAATGGCTTCACCGGTCTGGCATTATTTTAAGGTGTCCGAAAAAGACAGTAAAATAGCGGTATGCAACGTGTGTGAAGCAGAAATCCTGCAGCTCCGCCCGCCGGACCGGTGAGCGGAGCGAAACACACAAGAGTTAGACCTAACACACTTAGCTATTTTATCTACCTCTGGAACAAGCTAAACTAGTTATTATAAATATATTTATTATTCACTGTCGGGTCACTCATTACTAGATCAGTGAGCTGCATGAGATACTGACAGGCTGTCAGGAGAGAGAGAGGGGGAGGGGAGAGAGGAAAAGAGAGCGCTTCCGCTCATTTCTCCCGTGTTATTCTCCAAAGTGAATGCAAACTTGAATAATGTACTTCATTTGAATGTAATAATTAAGTTGATTGTTGTTTGTGGAAGCTCCAGTGAATGAGCCCCATTAACTGAGTTTTAAACATCACTTTAAATGGAAGATTAAAGTTTAAATCTTCCATTTAGGCCCCGCCCACTCGATCGGATCGGCGATCGGTATCGGCCGATACTGATTTTGGTGATCGGCCCCGAAATTGCCGATCGGAGCATCCCTAAACTTAGAGCTCACAGGAAAGAAAGGGAATTCCTTTGCATATCAAGACATTTTGGTATTGTAAAAAAATCACCAAATATTCCAACCCAGTAGAAAAATCCTCTTTAATTACTCTGAATATAGAATACTGATGGGAATTTAGAAATGTATGAGATAGGATAAATAGGTGATGTCATTTACCGAAGACTTTCCAAATTGGCTGTCCACTAGCATTTGTGCTTTCGCCAAAACCAACATCAAAATAGAGCCTAATGCCGATTTTTGTCTTTGAAAACGTCATATATTTGTGAGTGACTTCAAAACTAAGTAGAAGAGTAGCTGTTTGATAAACCCCTTGTCCTTAAGCTCTATTGAAATACATTAAGTGGACCAGATACCATTCTTGGGAGGAGAGGCAGGTTTAACGAAATGTTCAAACATAATTAAAGCTTTAAAACTCCAAAGCGTACTATGAAGATTACATCTGATTGACCTTAGATTTTAATTATTGTTCCTAGAAAGTTCACAAAAGACTGTGCCTTAAGATGCCAGATTATTCTCAGCTATATTGAGGGTAAAATGTCATCATTAACGTTTCCTATATTAGACCTATTTAAGATTCTACATCTTAGGGCGGTTCTGATCTTTGCACTTAATCACTCAAACTTTTACAAAGTTATCATACTCATCTAACAAAAGTCATTACTGCAGTGCACGCTAATCTGTTGGCTTGTCATTAATGGTAGCTGTATGATACTTTATCTGCAGTGAAACATGTCCTGACCTCATTGAGGCAACAGTCTAATGCATTGTTAGAAAGTTAGTAAATTGCATGGCTGTAGTGTTTACTGACTTGTGAGTATAGTAAACCCTGATAAGACCGTGACTCCTATTTACAGGTCTATGAAGATGAGTGCTGCACGGTATGGGGAAAATATGTTGATATCATTATTTTGAATACTGCAATCATGACGGTACCTGTTATAATAAACAGACACTTTTAGTACACAGCTGTTGAATTTAAATCAATCAATTTGAAAATACTTATATTGAACACATTGAAGTAGGCACAAAAAGCATCACTAAAATAATATACATTTTAGTTGTAAATGTTTCTATTATGCTCTTTGACAACACAAAACATCCCTATTGTATAATACAGCAGACTTTTTTGATATACTGTATTGTGCAGCTTCTATTGTGATATAAAGGATATATTGTGCTGCCCAGATTTACACAGATATTGACAGTACAGTTGGATTTGTATACAATAGCTACCAAACACTAATATTACTTTACAGTGTGTTAGCTGTGTGCAATGATAGCCCATGTATATTAAAGCTGATGGTTGTATGCAGGACATTGTCTGCTGAGACAGATGACAATGAGAGACCAAAAGACACCTGGGGGCCTGGCGGCAGGTAAGACCTGTCACCCACCTGGTTTCCAACAGCAACCAGACCTCCGCCGCCGCCACATACTCCGTCAAACTCTTCATCTCTTGTTTTTGGTTTTAAAATGATTCTTCATGCTGTTATGTAAGGCTGCACAATTCACCAAAATATGACATTTGAATTGTCTGTTCTGAGCTCAGTTCAGTACTTTGTCCTACATTATTTGTATTGTTAGAAAACACAAGCTTTTAAACCAATTGAATAGATATTCAGAGGGAAATGGAACACACAGACTCCTCATCTCAGATGAAAGTAATTGTTTTAAAGTTGTTGCAGCCTTACTATGTCATAATAGCCACCATTTAACGCTTGAAAGCGATGTAATTTGTCTTTAATCTCATTGTCATCTCTCCGTCAGCATGATGTCATCAAGAAAAAACACCGTTTTTGATGTTCTATTACGTTTAAGTAATACTATGAAGTGTGAGCAAATATACCTGTATTATTTTATTGTTGTATTTGTTTCATCTTTACTAGACAGTAGGTGTGCATTTAGTTAACATAACGCCCTAGACAAACAAAATGCTAAGATGGAAATAGAACATTGCTTTACATAACAATGCAATAACTTAAATAATAAAACTAAAAGAGAGGTGTGAGTGTGCACACTGCAGATCTATATGTCAATACAGTATCTATAATACTGTCAAAGCAATTGTGTGAGCTGTTTTTCATTCTACCAATAAAACTAAAGTATTGCACCTACAGCCACAAACAGAAACTAGTGCAGAGACTTGAACTACTGCCATGCAGGGAGGTCTGCCGTGTGTCTTGGTGTGTGTGCAGTTTTGTAAAGTAATGGATTGAGCATGTAGGGTAGGCTTAGTGGCTCCCCAGGGTTGGATTTCTACCAGTGAGTATTCACACACACACGTACACACACTCTTAATGAGGTCAGAGTCAAACAGTGTTTCGGCTGCAGCATTCCTCGCTGCTAATAGTTCCACAGGGTTTGGGAGTAAGTGATTATATCTAACTGGATTATAGGACCTGATTATCTAAAAAAGGTAATCTGCGACAAACACACAAGTTAGAAGAGTGTATTTCACTGCATAACCTTTTGAATCCCTGCAGTAAGTTTCCTAAAATCCTTATTCAGGCACATTGACTAATAATGTGTCCTTTTGAACTCAAACCATTGGGCACCATTTACAGGATGATGGGAGGTTGCATGTACTGAGACTCACATGAGATCAGCAGATGGGATCTGGTTAGCTGAACCACTGAAGCAGACGGTTGCTACGGTTCATGTGATCGCGCCTGCCAACCATTTCCATGCAATTAGTAGATTTATACCAGAAACCAGCTCTTACTAAGGGGGCGACTTTAATCCCAAGGCTAAAGCTCTTGCCCATCATGTTAACAAGACAGTTGAGAAGACAGAGAAGGGCATTTTATGTTAACTTGTCTGAATAAATTGTCTTTTTTTAATTGGTTGTAGAACTAAATATGACTATATAAAATAGAAATATATATTCTTTTTTTTATGAATTGTTCATCTTTATACCAACAATCATTTGCTGGTTTCTCTGTATGAGTAGTGTTAAAACATTCTGCTGTTAAGTAGTTCTTGAACTCATACATCCCTAAAATGTCATTACCACCAGTGCTTTCTAAATCACGGATGTTGAATAGGCAATGCAAGGAAAATTATAAAATTCTGTTTGTGGTTTGTCTTGCTGCATGTTGATATGTTTCACAAACAAATATTAACAACTTAAACATGTAATGCTGTTTTGCAGACAGCTAAATATTTCTACTTAAAGCTCTATTTTGAAAAGCTAGAAAAAAACCTCAAGGACTCACAAACCACAGAAGAACATGATTATCCCTTGAGTCACATTTCTGGCTACAGTACCTCACAAATAAAATATATTTCACCAGGCTTTTTGGTTCACCAACTTCAGAGAAAAATATATTGATGTTAAGCTGGTAGTTGCTCCACTTATTCACACATCACTGATTCACCTGGGCTCAAACTAGACTTGACATGATTTGAAATGGGAGACTTGGTAAGAGCTTATATTAAAGAAAGGAAACAGGCACATTTAAGCAAATTCATCCTAATGTCTAACATATCTTTGAGTTTGTCTTTTGCTTGTTATTGTCTTGCACCGTTTTGGTTTACTGTGTTTTTTTTCTTCCAAACTTTGTCAAGATATCCCTGTATAACCAAATACCTGCAGTGAGCATCATGTCAGTCTTTCCTCTCTCTTGCAGGACACGTCCCAAGGTCCAGTTCAATGGCTATGTCGGCCATGAGAGCTCCAACGGTCAGGCATCATTTGAAAACCCAATGTATGACACCAACATGAAGCCCACTGAGGCTAAGGCAGTTCGATTCGACACCACACTCAATACAGTCTGTACCGTAGTATAGTACAACAACCTGCCACCACCTAAACAGTGGTTCAGTCCAACCTCCCTGTCGCAGTCTGTGCTGTGGTTTCACCAAACAGAAGAAAGAAGAAATGATTTGGACTTGTTACTGTGAGCAGTTTGTGTTGTAGCATGCTGGTCCTCTGGCAGTATAACCTGCACAGTAATGCAGCTCTGCTCCACCTCCTACCTGCAAAAAGGTATCATCCTCCTCTACCCATAGTCGGAAAGAGCGAAATACGTTGGAACCAGTACACAAGGGAGTAGACAATGAAGTTATCAAATGTGTTGTTGAGGAGATCAACACTGGGACTAGAATTATTCTGAGGCATTGTTGCCATTAAAACACCAAGGAAAAACACAAAAGATGGTACAACTAATTCCTTCAAGAGCGACAACCTCACTGTACAGTGTGCATCCAGTGTCAGATGACTACTGCAAAAATCAACCTTATTATGGAAAGTGCTTTGTATGGCCCATGAATACCCTCCCTGCAACCTGAATGTGGTTTGCCCAACCTGACCCCACGCCAAATGTGCACAGTGTAGGCTCTTAACTTATGAAGTCCCCTGCTGCAGGCCAGACATGGGTGATGCAAGGGGGAAGCACATGGACTCGCACTCTTTTATCCCCTTCAGACATCAAAAAGTAATTTGATTGTTCCTTATATGTCAACATAAAAACCATCACTGGTGCTAGACCAAAAAAATCCCTGTAGACCTCCATCATGCTTGACTTGACGGGACTAGACTCTGACGTAACTTAAGCTCTCAGATTCTGTTTTGGGGGAATCTGATATCAATCGACTGCTGTTAAATGGATCACCAAATGCAGTCAATGCAGTGACGAGCTCAACACATAAATTCCTTAAAAGCTCAAATCTCATCCAGTACTGGACACTAGTATTAGATGTGTACTAGGAGCTGTGGACTAGTGCTGGACAAGCCAGGGTCAAATAACAGTTGCAGATACAATTAAAATGTTTGTTTCAGCCTACGTAGAGAACTGAATGGCTTCAACAATATCAGGAAAATCACAGAGTGAGGTATGTTGACTTGTCAGATTCTCAAAAAGATAACTGTGAGGTGGTGTTTACGTTCTGCCACTTATGACCTACTTATGAAGTATTTGAAAACTAATGTATGCTTAAACATATCAGATCAAACATTTGCAAATGCTATTTACCCCAAGTTTATTACAAGACCCTGTGATCTAGTTCTAGATGAGTTTTTGCCGTTTTTAAAATATTCTTTGGACGTACTATACACTTAAGATCAATACGATGAACAATATTCAACACTAGCACTAAGCAGACTTCGTTAAACCAGAAAACCAGACATTTGAGTTGCCGGGCTGGTGTCCACAGAGGCCTGTCTCACACAATCAAAGAGTCAGACAGCTGATTCTTGTTCTTGGACTGGCCAGGATTCAGAGCTTGGTGGCCGAAAAAGAGGAAGCCTGGAGGCAATAAGCTGTCAAGATCTTCAACTGCTGCAATCAGCTGCGGCCAAATCCTGGAAATGATTCGTCTTCTCCTAACTCTGGGCGGGATTATCAGTCAAATGTTGACTGATTTATTTTCTACAGCATACTCTCCAGCCACAAGAACAGAAATGATCAACAGATTAACGGACAGACTGGTTGAATGACGGAAACAGACAAATGGACGGATAGCCCCTTCTGTCCGTCATGCTGGAAAAGAGAGACAAAGACAGGTTGCTATGGAGACTGAGGCAAATAGTTGTCTCTTTTAGTCTCTTCGGTCATTTTTCTTCAGTGAAGATATTGATGAACAGACTCTATGTTCAAATACCCAGTGGCCCCTGGGACTTCCCAAACCACTGCTGCTGGGGACCCCAAAATATAAACTTTATATAAACTCTTAAACCGCACAAATTTTGCACTAGTGTGTTTTTCTGACTTGGGTCTGAAATGGGTTTGAAAAATGAGTCATTCGAAAAAAGAGAATTTTATTCAGAAACTTCTATCTTTAAAAAGACGAGAAAAATGACAAAATACAGGGTTACAGAGTGTTTGTATATACACATTTATATCACACACTCCCTGTAAGCAGAAGGTGTGACCACATGCTATACTGTTGTTTATTTTGTTGCCATGAGAACACGCTAGCCAACCAGAAAGTTGGGATCAGTTTACCCTCGGACCTCTGAGCTTTTAGTGTCACGAAATGACACCACTTTCATTTGTGCCATTTATAGAACAGTGGATGCTTCTGAAAGCTGATACTGCACAGTGTGAGTGCTGTAATGTGTGGAAGAAATACACAGAAAGCCTCACATCCATAATATGCAGTATGGTCCCACTGAAACACAGGTACACCACTGCTAGTTTTATTTTCAGGTATTAAACTCCATCATTTCCTGAGATACTGTACAGTGTTTTATGAATATTAAATAGTATCTCTCTATGGGCTTTTTTTCAGTTTAGCAGTGTTAGCTTTCAGGAATGTAACTGTTTCTATAACTCTTTAAAAATATGTGTTGCCAGTGTCCCAAACTATCAACATAATCCTACGTCATCTCTGAACACATTTGACATATCTGATTTTATTTCAACACGTCTTTTTAAAGAGCCCACCATGTATTCGTGATCAGTTTGATCATCTGTCACGTAAGGCAGAGGACAAACGAATACAGTACGAAGACAACATGCACAATTATTGTTGTCGGCAGTTATTGCCCCTATCCATTTTAGAAATACCTCGTGTGCAGAGAGAAAGTTACATCCTGCTTATTATCGCAGGAACTTCACTGCAACAAATACACAAGCTTAGCGAGTGCGACCTTTCATTTCCTGGTATTTTAAGACACAATGTCGTACAAACACCCTGTAGTCTTGGGAATTCAAGAAAATCCACTGGTTTTAAATCACTTGCCAAGCTTGTTATTTCTCGCAGTGTTCTCTCAAAATAATTGTATTTTTGGAAAGATGCTGCACTTGGTTTAGAATTCATAGATGTAACTGCTTTCAGTGTGTGTCTTCAGGCCTGTTTCTCGTTTGTATCACTCCATGCGATCCATTTTGGCATTACACCTGCATGATTTGTATTGTCCAAATAAGCTCAAACCATCATACTGTCATACGTACAAACAAAAAAACATATCCATTGATTCGCACAGGAGTGTGGAAGGTATGAGATATTAGTTAATGAAAATATGTCATTCTAATTATGATTTTGTCGATGAAACACTTAATACAATTATATTGCAGTTAGGATTTTAACCAAGTCCCAAATATTGAGGAGAAAACATTTGTTATGAGAAGTTTGTCACATCCACCTTTTTGATATGCTAGAACGAAGTGACAAGCAAATTGCAGTTTTGCATTTGCATTTCCGGCTCTTTTAATTGAAAAGGATTTTCTGAAAATGAACACCAGTTTGAATGTTGCAAATGAAATGAGGACGAAACAATGGGGGAAATGTTTGGAAGCATGAATACAGGATGTTGTTGGTATTATGGTATCTATTGTTAGCCTGTCATTCATAGCCTCAGGGTCAGGGTCGTGGTCAGACAGCCAGAAACATTTACACCCGTTAGAGAGAGAAAATTAGGGTACAAGTTATTATACTGGGAAGAGTTAGAGAGCGGGGGAAAGACAGTAGACACACTTTGAAAATCTTCTCATATACAGATAAACAGACATCTGTAAACAACAGCAGATAGTGATCCTCTTCACCTTTTATTGCTCGAGTGCTTCTATTTTAATTGATTAAATTAATTCAGTTGCGATTCCCTATGGAGTCAAGAGAGCATAATGGAGCCTGAAAATTAGAGGTTGCAAGGTTTCTACAGGCGTAGTAAAAGGTGTAATTTTTAACAATTACTGTAATGATACGGATCTGATCTCCCAGTGAGACTGAACCAGAGCACTTCGACTCAGCGCTGTCCCATCAGAGGGGCTCTACCGAGGTTAGCTTTCACATCTTGTGTACCCATAGACATGTGGGTAATTGCAGATTTAAAATACAGTGAGGAAGTTCACATCTAAGTATTACAACATTGCTGTATTATTTAATCCCCTTGATTCTAATACCTCGACTCTGTTTTAAATTAAAAAAATTAAAGTTTATTCTATATTTGAAAATGTCTGTTATAAACAAAAACATCATTATCAAAGGCACAGAGACAGATCTCCATTGTTCCCAGTTAGTACTCCAAAATGAGTGAGATGTGGAGCTGAAAGCTGGGCATAATTCGCTTTCATAGCTATTTAATTGAAATTAAAGGACTGCGAATGATTGAAAAGGGAAGAAAGCCATTCCTCTGTGAGGTCTACCTGTATTTCTTCTCACTTATAAAATAAGGAGGCCTATTGTTGTGGCTCTGATTAAAATCACTCTTTTGAAAAATATCTTACAATGGACAACTTTTTTTGTTGAAGTTTGCCGTGACTTCATTTCAATATTAACAAAAGCAAATCTTATAACAAAGGCCCTTTCTTAGAGTAATGACATAACGAGTGACGTCTAGCTTATGTCTTAATTTCTATTGGAATATGTAGAAAAGACAGTGTGCGGAGGCTGTACAACTTCATCTGTTTATTGATCAGTCTTCTCCTGGATATGACACATACCTCCTTGAAGATAAGTTGAGAATGACTGAAGACTTTCTTTACAACATAGGAAGAAGTTTTCACATTTGCCTTTAATTTGGTACTGTCAGCAGTCCTCGCCGTTTAAAGAGCGACAGCTGGTTAAATATTTTTAAAACTTACCCACTACATTTTGAAATGCCAAGGTTGTTTCTGCTTCTTCAGCTCAGACTTTTCACAGTTGGGGAAATAGGTTGTCCCTTACTAAAGTGGTATTGTCAGCAGTCCTCATTGAAACAAAGGGGCCTAGGTTGCTGCGAGCTTAAGGAAAAACACAGCTAAAACTGTAAATGTCACACGCTTAAAATAATTACATAATTGATTCAATGCAGATATAAGACATGAACACTACATAAAGATGAATTTATTATCCCGCAGGGAGGACACTGATCTTTTCTAGGAACACTAGTATGGCTGCTTTCAGATTCAGTTTGTAGTGAAATTAAAATGTTATGTATTGCCCTTGACAGGCCTTTGTCAGCTTCTGCTCAATAGTTTGGATAGGACAAACTTCTCATGTCATACGCTCAGCTTTAGAGCTTTGAAGAAAATCACTATCTTTGTCAGAATTGAACGTGAGTTGACTGACTTCACTGCTTCAGTCACTCACTTCACTCACTGCTTCACTGCTGACTTCACCTGCTTCACTCGGATGAATTATTGACATTACGGCACATGGCAGCTTCTAGATTGAGACACCACACATATAAGTGTTACAGTCACACATGATGATGGGATACAGTCTCCGCAAATCATTTTGACTTGCAGTAAGTGAGATTGTGGCTTATAAATGTGTACTTTAAAAAATGGTTTCATTTGGTCATAAATGGCAGAGATATGTTAAAAAAAAATGGCAAGTCTTTACCAGGAAGCTGCCATCATCATTAATGTTATTGTTTAAAGCATCATGATCACCTCCATGTCACCTCTCATCATCATCATCATCATCATCATCATGTGCTGCTGAACTTGAAGTAGGTGCAAAAGAAAAAAGTTTTGTACAGAAATCTATTTTTTATGGAGAATTTGTAAAAAAACAAAAACAAATTATTAAACATGCTGTACTTTTTATGATTAATGATGTAGGTACAACAAATTCTTGTTCATTAAAGTCAATGTTTTTACTGTTTCACTCCATGTAAAAATCTATGGTTCAAACCGAGTATATAAAATTCAAATGTCATGTGATCTCTTTTACGGCTGATTTTACACAGGAACAGAAAACCTTGTGGGATGCAGAGTTTATTTTCTCCATGCTGGAGAGACACTTATCTCTTGGTCACACCTGTAAAAAAGTTTTTTATTCAAACTCAAAAACACTTCAGTCCTATAACTGATGTGTCAGCTCCAACTCCTCCACAGATTGGGGCTGGCAGAGTTTGCGTTTCATTTTAACATTTAAATCCCCATTCCCTGCAGAAATATGGTATATAATGTGGCTTTTAATGCGGCAGCTGTGCCGTACAAGCTGCCTTAGCATTTGTGATTTCATGCATAATGTTTACATTCATTTTCTGAATACATTTAAGATACCTACACCAGATGTTTAGTGTCAAAATGTCATGAACGGTATTCATGGATGGGGTGAAAATGACACTTTCTTTAAAACATAAGTGTTCCTGTGTAAAAACAGCTCTGTGTGGCTGATCCTGGTGTCTATATCTGGGAGAGGGATGACTTCCACGGGCACAAAAGATTTTGAATGACTTGACCTCTTTACGGCCCAAAATGTGACCTTACGTCTGTTAAGCAAGGAGTCATCTGGCTCTCCTTGTTTAGACATAATGGGTTTAGAGTGGAAAATAAATTGGTGGTAAATGTAGGCTATGAAAGCAGCATAGGCAAGTCTGCAACAGTTTGGATGCTCCTAACTTGACTTGTAACTTCTTGAGTTTTGAAAAGGGCATTTTTCTGACAGATCATGAGGGGGGGAAATACATGAGTGTTATAAATGATTATACAACAGATACTGTATGTGTATATGCAGCCTCACAACCTGCTGTTAAAGAGACTCAAAGTTTATCTATCAGATATTTTGAAAACATTATTTGAGAATAAAGTTTTTGATACAATACTTTCTCATCTGTGCCAGTGTTTTATTGTTATCCAGATTTTTGGAAAATGTTCAATTACAATCATATCAGTATGGTACCTTCAGGGCTGAGTGAAGATGACCTGCAGGGCTGCAGCCCTCTGTGAGCATGCTTTCTTTAATATAGTGTATGGTGACAAAATATGGCAGACATATTTCCAATTGTGTAATGAGCCTGTTGAAATACAGGCTCATGTAATATCACCATATTGACTAATTAATTTTAATTTCTACATCAAATCCCTTCCTGGGGTGGTCAATTCCATCAGGAGCACCTTAATCTTGACTTTAATAAGGGATAATCCAAGGCAAAGTGTGCGCTAAAGAGCCTTATATTTGCCTCTGGATTGTGTAAATAGAATAATCCACACTCACTGAATATACGAAGGTCAATTACTGCTTACTAACTGGAGGGATTTGAGTGGATTATGTGGTTTATCGCACTGCAACGAGTGTTGGTTACTAATATGTATTGGTTGTTCCCTATTTAAATAACACCATGCTTCAGAAATGATGAATGTTGTGTCCCTTCTTGACCAGAATGTTACCATGGTTACACAGGTTGTTGAGAAAATGTGGGACCAGAGAATCATATCACTGAGAAATGTAATATACCCGTAATACAGAATTAAAGCTACTTAATCAAAGGCAGAGTGAAACTAGAGGAGAGAGCTGCGGTGAGAAAAGAGAGAAGCAGCACAACCAGCTCGCCGCAGCAGGTTTGAAACAAGGGGCTGAATTATGACTTTTAACATCGGAAACTTTATTTAATCAGCACCTAAAAAAACAATGTACAAGCTGGGTTACACAAGCAATTACAAATAAACATAACAAGGTCTAACCATGAGTTTGGGAGAAAAAGATGCAAGCAGAAAGAAATAAAACAGCAGGACAAGTAATGAAAGCAAATAATTAAGAGGACAAATGGGGGGGGGAACTGAAGAAAAACTAGAGCTACAAAAATAAAAGCTGACATTGATTTAAGGCTCAATAAAGAAAGGCCAGCATGTGACTTTACTTTTAATTCGATTGTTACTTTAATATCAGAATAATTTCACTTGTTATTGCATACAGTATAGGCCTACATTGTTTCACATTAACACAAAAGGATAAACATATATTCAAATGTACAGTGTGGGTTAATAAGGGAACAAAATCTAAAGTAGCCTTGTTTGACGGGACCTAGGAGTTGCTCAGTCTCTTAAATCAGGGGATCAACATGAGTATCTCATAACACATCCCATTAACACAAAACGTCTGTAGGCCTATTACAACCAGTTTATAGCTGCAGTCAGTCAAACACAGGCTTCAGAGATACAAATGCAACTTGTTTTGATTTATCTTGAGGTTTCAAGCTTTGTTTCTGCTAACCTACTTGAATCATGAAGTTATTTTATGATAAAGGTCACTAAAATATTCAAGTTATCTTATAAACCAAGGGGGAGGATGGATCCTTTATAAACATCACAGTAATTGAGAGGTGACCACTGAGGGGGAAGCCTATCACCAAGTACTACCAAGTTGCCTATGGTTTAACAAGAATGGTATTGTAGGCTATATAGAAAACGCCTCTTTTTGATGGATAAGGGTATGCAGGTGAACAACCCCAGTGAATAAAACATTGTTTTTATTTTGTACCTCTGACTGTCTTCATCTGTTTGCGTTCATCTGTAAACTAAGGCCCCGAAAACGAACCAAGGTCGATATCAAAAAAGTATTCCGTCCACACGGAATCGGCACAAGAAACGTGTCCGTCCACACGAGACCGCTCTAGACCCAACACACTCTCACTCCATAATCGTCCAGGAGCGACGTTTGGTCAGTGTCCGTGGCGTGCAGTTGTGACGCTCCTAGGCTCCTTCAGCTTCATAAAGGGACGTAAATAGCTTTCAACTGATTGCAATGTATTCCCATCTGCGGCGGGATTTGACGCTCATGGAAGCACGGCATTCGTTTGTGTCGGCTGCCCTTAAAGGCAATGTGAGCGTCCATTCTCATTGGATAACGGAGAATTGTACACAGTTTAATACTGGCAACTTCTTATTATGGGAAATACGAAAACGTCTTTTAAAACTCCAACTCCCATGACGTGCCATAGATCAGAGATGTTCACAAGTCTTTTTTTGCAAGTCCAAGTCAAGTCTCAAGTCTTTGGTCACGAGTCCAAGTCAAGTCTCAAGTCTTTGTGGGGTGAGACTTGATCAAGTCTCAAGTCTTTGGTCACGAGTCCAAGTCAAGTCTCAAGTCTCTAAAAAATAAAAGTCTCATGTCTCTTCTGGTTGTAATAAGCCTTCTATTGTCTGCTGCTATCCAGTCTGTTAAGAATACTGCACAGCTATATCTAAGACATTCAAAGCATTGACTGTATTATTATCACTCCTATATCTATTAGCATACAGTATCAGTACTGATTAGTTGTTTGTTATATGATCACTTTAAACAGGCTATTGCAATGCAATATGAGGAAAAACATCACACTTTAGCTAAATGCAAACAACTTATAAGCAAAACACTTCAGAATCAGAAATCAGTATCACAAATACTTTATTAATCCCCCGCAGGGAAACTGTGTTAAAAGTACTTAAAAGTAAACATTTGTTCTGTGCCATTTGCAACTAAAAAACTATTGCTGCAATATTATCTGAAATATACTGAACTGGTGATATTAAAACATGACCTGTTCCAAAAGAGATATCTACCATTAACACCATTTGCTGGTAAATCATGCAAGTGGCTGGTACTGTATGTTGCACGCACCAGCCACAAATAACAATGGCAATCTATTGAGTGGCTGGTAACATTTCAACATTCACTAGGCTAGCCATTTGGCCAGTGGACAAAAATGTTAAAATTTGACCTCTGCAACCGTATTGTTTAATTACACTGGGTCTCTAATTACATCTTTTAAGTCTACTATAAATACACATATTCCTCTATCCTCTCACTCAAACCCAGTGTAATGGTAACCTGATAAACCTGTAACATTAACGTTACGTGGTCAACAATAAACCTGTAACCTGCCTATAAACCGACAGATGTATTTATGTATGTAACTATGTATTTCTCTACGTTTAACGTTAGCCAGTAGATGGTAGCAGCGGAACGTAATGATTAACGTTACCGACCTTTTTTATGTCATGTCAAGAGTTGGATGTCAACGCCACTCAACGTAAACAAGTGTGACAAGCAAACATTCACTCATCTTTTCAAATATTCAGTTACAAAGCTAGTAGCGAGCTAAGTTAACATTACATAGCTGATGCTGAGCTAAACATGTTTGCTAACCGTCCATATGCGTTAATGTGACTGACCTCTCCGGGTGAGTTTTCAAGTGCCTGATGAAATTTGACGTTGTTGCACCAGCATCCTTGATTTTAATATTGCAGACTTTGCAGTGTGTGCTCCTTTTGTTGGTGCCGCCGGCGTTTTGTTCGAAGTTTTTATAGTTGAACCTAATTACAAGCGGTACAGCTGCAGGTGTGCCGCCGGTCGCCATGGTGTTACCATGATGTTAATGTTAATGTTAAAGGTGGGGTAGGTAAGTTTGAGAAACCGGCTCGAGATACACTTGTTGTTATATTCCATGGAATGCTCTTAACATCCCGATAGCCGGCCCGGCTAAAGTAACTGGATGGCCTACCTGCCTGTCAGCCTCCATCGGGGCACAAACTTATCTCGTGCCCTCATTGGTCATGTGCGCGTTCGTGTGTGTTGGAGGAGGGGCTCTGTGACGAAGTGGCAGATTTTCTCCGGTTGTGTATTTTCAAATTCTAGCGATCTCGAGACGGTTTCTCAAATGTACCTACCCCACCTTTAATACGCCAAAAATAGAAAACACAATGATTGTTCACGAGTCCCAACACACGAGTCCAAGTCGAGTCCGAAGTCTTTTGAGCAGGAGTCCAAGTCAAGTCTGAAGTCTCTGTGTGTGCGACTTAAGTGCGACTCGAGTCCGAGTCACAGACTCGAGTCCCCATCTCTGCCATAGATAGAGAACATGTTGCGAAACACAATAGCCAGCATCTGTAGTTCTGGGGACGGGGTGGGGGAGGGGGGGACGCGGTGGACCCGTTCAAATCCAGTTTTGGACAGTCTGCCGTGGTTCCATCCCATTTCAAGTGCTGTTCGAGGCTCGGCGTAACCCTCAGAGCACACTCTCCAATCACAGAGCTTGAGGACTATCACGGGGTTTGTCAAACAGAGCAAATGGTGTAGTCCAAACGATAGCTGGGGATTCTGGGTAGTGTAGTGTCTTCTTCCATCCTTTACTCCGAAAAAATATTTGTTTCTCCGAATCGAAGGGGAAAAATTCAAAAGCATTGCACACAATTTAAACCAATCAATGTTGTGTAATTAACAAGGATAATCTGGTGTTTTTTAGTCGATGAGTAGTGCAGATATCACTGTAAAATCAATCGACATTAAGGGGAATACTTACTTCCGGGTGTACAATTCTCCGTTATCCAATGAGAATGGACGCTCACATTGCCTTTAAGGGCAGCCGACACAAACGAATGCCGTGCTTCCATGAGCGTCAAATCCCGCCGCAGATGGGAATACATTGCAATCAGTTGAAAGCTATGTGCGTCCCTTTATGAAGCTGAAGGAGCCTAGGAGCGTCACAACTGCACGCCACGGACACTGACCAAACGTCGCTCCTGGACGATTATGGAGTGAGAGTGTGTTGCTAGACACGCTGGAGTTCCGTTACGGCCTTGTGTGGACGAACCGTCCATACGATAAAGAACTATAGCTGATGAAGCCATATCTAGGAGCTTATATTATTTAATAGTTATCCATTTATTTTATTGTTCTTTTTTGTTTATAGTAAATCTTCCTTTTAATTCTTATTTAAGTTGATCAAATAAGTTGTACCATGCCTCTGTTTTGTAAAGACAGCCTTTGGGCACCGGGGGAGGGGAGACCGGCTCATTATAAATATGGGAAACAGGTGGTATTGAGCGGCGCACCCGGTAGGCTTA